TGCAAGAAAGCAAGCTCAACAACACAAGTTGTTTTCAAGCCTCATCTTGCGTGTTTGCTAACACCCCATTAACTAAACCAAATAGCACTGCCAATCTTAGAGTTTTAGTGGAAGGGCATGACCAAGTTATGCAGAAAAGTCTGTGGATAAGTTAGGTGTGGCTATAGTCTGGATCTGGAATGTCCCCTAAAGGCCCATGATTAAAACCTTGATCTTTAGCCCATGGTGTTATTGGAAGGTGGTGGAATCCTTAGGAGGCGGGCCCTAGTGGAAGGAAATTAGATCATCAGGGCTATACCCTTGAAGGGGGTATTGGAACCCTGGTCCCTTCTGGTCTCTTTGCTTCCTGGCCACCATGAGGTGAGGAGTTTCCTCCATACAGGCTTCAGCTGATGAAATACTGCCTTACCACAGACTCAAAAGCAACAAGGCCAGCCAACCACCAATTGAAACCACTTAAACTGTAAGCCAAAATAAAAGTTTTCCTCTTTTTAAGTTGTTTATCTCAGAGTTTGTTTGTTTGTTGGCTTCTTTGTGGAACTAGTGATTTAATAAGGGCCTCACACATGCTAGGAAAGTGTTCTACACCCCCAATCTTGTTTCAGGTATTTTGCTACTATAGTGGAAAACTGGCTAACCCAGGTATGAAGCATTTGGGGCCATTTTTGCCAAGTGTTTGTCCTCATGACCATTCTTCACATCATTCCTACATATGATATGTGAGCATTCTCATCCCAGCAGCCTCCAAAAATCTCAAACATGACTCAAAATTCAAGATCTCATAATTCCTCCTGTAACGTCTGGAGGTGGCTACTCATAATCCAAAGATACACAAATTGGGGGCTGGGGTTGTGGCTCAGCGGTAGAGCACTTGCAAGCACATGCGAGGCACCAAATTCAATCCTCAGCACCAAGTTAAAAAAATAAATAAAATAAAATGAATGTATTGTGTCCAACTACAACTAAAATATATATTTATAAACACATACACACACACACACACACACACACACAAAAGATACATGAATTAAAATTCAAATTAGGCCAGGCACGGTGGCACACGACTATAATCCCAGAGGATCCGGAGACTGAGGCAAGAGGATCTTGAGTTCAAAACCAGCCTCAGCAAAGCCAAGGCACTAAGCAACTCAGTGAGACCCTGTCTCTAAATAAAATACAAAATAGGACTGGGGATGCGGCTCTGTGGTTTAGTGCCCCCGAATTCAATCCCTGGTACCCACCCCCAAAATGGTCAAATTAGTTACCTGCCCCCCCCCCATGTACCTAACGTAAGTCAGTAAAACAAGGACAGGGTAATTACAAAAGCACTTCCATTTGGAAAGCATGAGAATGGAAGGCATCATAACATTTACTTGCTCATAGCAATTCCAAAATCCCAATGGGAAAGCGATAGCAGGTCTCTTTGCTCTGTAGATGGGCAATGTTTTGCAAATAAGCTCCAGTTCTGTATCCTACATGTATTAGGTATCTATTGCTATCTAACAACATCAGCATGAAATTAGTGATTTAAAAACCACACCCACTTGTAATCTGAGTTTCTGTGGGTCAAGAATTTGAGCATGGTCTAGCTGGGTCCTCTACTTCAGAATCTCTCACAAGACTGCAATTAAGGTGTTAGCCAGGACTAGGGTCTCATTTGAGGCTTCACTGGGCAAGGATCCACTTCCAAGCTCATGGGGTTGTTGGCAGGATGCAGCTTCTTGTGGATTATTGGATAAGGGCTGCAGTTATTTGATGGAAATTCGCAAGAAGCTGGCCCCAGTTCCTTGCCATGTGGGTCTCTCTGTAGGGCAGCTTGCTTCATCAAAGCCAGCATGGGAGTCATTACAGCCTGCTAGGAAGATGGAAGTTAAAACCTTACACAACATAATTACAGAAGTGACATTCCATCACCTTTCTCATATCCTAATAGAAGAATATCCCAGATCCCACTTATACTTAAGAGGTGGGATTACACTAAGGCATAAATTCCGGGAGGCAGGGATCATTGCAGGCCACATTGGAGTTTGTCTACTCCAATCCATTGCTTTCTTTGGCTCTTGGCTTCAAAAAAATTGTACCTTCTACTCTCTATTGTCCTCCTTGGACACCTATGAAGACAGCAGTGTAAAATATGCCTTTTCAGCAACTTTCATAGCTTGCTTCCTACCCAGGGGCCCAGAGTCTTTCTACATGTAGTTCCTTTTAGTCTAGATTAATACCACTTTCATCAGTGTAGCTCTCTAAAGTTTTCTGGGGAAAACTCTGTTTGGAGTCCACTCTATGTGCAAAAGGCCACACCCACAATTATTTGTGAGCTCCCCCCATCAATCTTAATCATTGATACTCTAGGTGTGTCCGATGGCTGTGGAACAATCTTAATTGTTCCTAAAAGCAGGTGGAAGAATCTATTAGATAGTGCCTTGATTCCTTCAGAGGGGTGTATGTAAGGAGGGGTGTGTTTAGCATGCATGAGAATCTGGGTTCAATTCCCAGCACTAAAACCAACACCAAGCAAAAACCAAAAAGTCATGGAAAAGTATCTCAAAGCCCTTAGTTTCGTTTTTTTTTACTTAAAGCCAAGTTTTCATTTCATAATCTTATTCTGGCTTTAAGGGATGGAGATGAGAAAGTTATTATTCCAATGTAGTACTTTGTAGTCCCTCTAAATTCTTTCTACTTAACATCTGACTGATTCTTTGGAGTAACAGCAAGTGGACATTTCCAACATTTCACCTAGACATCTCTATTCCAAGGCTAAATGTTCTGTGGGTACATTTGCTGGCTTCCAAGTCACCTTCAGGTGGTAACACGGGTCACCATTTTTTCTACTCTCCTTGTATTGTTTTTAGCTTCCTATAATGGTTTTCTCACCATTTTTCCAGCTTCCTTCTGCAGCCTAGTTCCAATGTTAAATATTTTAGGTTTTTGTTTTGGCACTAATTTTCATCAGTTATCGCCGTGTAATAAATCAATTTAATCTCAATGCCTTAAAAAAATAATTATTTGGCTGGGTAGTCCTGGTCTCCTCTGGGCTCCCTCATATGTCTGAGATAGTCAACAACCCTAAGGTTGAAACTGAATGGCTTTGGTCAGGTCCATTTAGCTACAGAATTTTCATGACAAAGGCAGAGAGCACAAGTGGGAGTAATCCCATTTTGCATCACATTTATGACAATCCCATTGCTAAAGCAAGTCACATGCACAGCCCAGAATCACACAGGGATGGCACAACAGAATTCCATGGCAGGTTATGAGGTTACAGGGACATCTAAAGATTTGGGCTGTTTTCTGCAACCTACCATAAGGGATCAAGCTATGTTTGCTTCCTAAAATAATCAGGAGGTATTTTTTTTTTCTTTTCTAGTGTTTTGGTCAGTGAAGATTTGGCAGAATTCCCCATTTAACCTCTTTTTTACAGGGTAGTTTTTTGATAATTGTTTCTATTTCCTTTAAGAAAATTAGTCCATTTAAACTTTTATCTATTGGAATCACTTTAGTATATTGTATTTTCCTAGATCATTATCCATTTAATTTAGGTTGTCATATTTAATTCCATCCAATTGTGAAAAATAATCTTTAAGATTAAATTTTTTTTCACTATTTTTTTTCCATGTATTTCTGCATTCTCCCCTTACATTACATAATGGTTTGTCCATGTTTATTATCTAATTTCTATTCATTTATCCTATTTTTTGTTCATTTTCCTAACCTGTGTGTTCTCATCCTTATTTTTCCTTTTTCATTTGGTTATTCTTCTTTTCCCTTTTGAGTTGGACATCAATTCATTTCACTTTTCATTTTTATCAGTGTTCCAATATTATAAGCTATATTTCATTTGCTGCTTTAATTACATAACATCAATTTCATTATTAATCATTTTTCTGAGAAGTTCTGAAATTTTGATTTAGCTTCTTCTTTTCCCCCCAAGAGCAGTTTAACAGGAAGCTCTTCTCCAGGTAAGACTTTTTTAAAAAAAGTGTTCTATTAATTTCTCATTTCATTGCATTGTAGTTAAAAGTTCTATTACTATTTTGTGCAAGCTACTAGGATTTTCTTTATAATATAATAAATTATCAATTTTGTGAGAATAGATAATATTACCAAGGTGTGAAACTCAATATATATATTCAGATGATCTACTTTATAGAAACTGTTATTTAGGTCTCTAATATCTTTATGTAGTTCTCGTTGCCTCAACTTCAGTCTTGAATAAGAGTGCTATGTTAAATTTCTCTATTACTTCTAGCTATTTTTCTTTGCAGTTTGTTGTACAAATGTCATATGCTTTGACAAGCCAGAAGCAACACAACTAAAATAATGAAAAATGAAAGGGAAAGAAAAGTACAAAGAACTCTTTGTTACACAGGAAATAGGGTGGGAGTTGAAGAATATCATTCAAAGTTCACAAACCGAGCAGTTCAGACTATAACATTCATAATTAGTGTATCTTTATTTCGCATTGAGTATCTTAATGCTCTTCTTTTCCTGAATTTTACCCTGTTAGAAATGAATTATATGAGAAATTATATCCCATCTGATTCAAATGTACGATATGTCAAGATCATTATACTACTGTCATGTGTAACTAATTAAAACAATTTTAAAAAAAGAAATGAATTGTAAACCTTGCCTTCTGTGGTTTCTGTTTGTCTGGTATGCTATTGCCTATTCCTTTACTTTTAAGACTTTCTGAATCACTTATTTTAGGTGTGCCTTTTGTAAAGAACAGACATGCTGGTTTTTAAGTCAATCTGAAATTCTTTTCAATAGGTGGATGAAGTCCACATACATTTACTGATGGGATTCACATGCTTGGATTTATTATTTACTATGTGAATGATGCTACATTCACTACATTTTCCACTTAGTTATTGTCTCTTTGGATATTGAGGGAGATTTGCACTTTTATTCTAGTGATGATATTGTTTATATTATACTATTGAAGGCAATAGTATAGTATACTTTAATGCTCTTAATTCCCCTTTTTCCTTACTTAAGCCTCAAACCTTTGGTTTGTCAATTTTAAAAATATGACTCCTACATATTGCTTATGCCATGAAGAACTCTTATACTTTCCCTTTTCCCTCTCCCTTCTCTTCCACTTTTCTAGTTGTCTACCTCTACACAAAGCATGTACCATTTGAAATTATTCATCCACCCTTACCCCCACTTGCATTTGGATGTCAGATCTACAACTAAAGATGTACTTTTGCTCCTAGTTGGATGAAGCTTCTCTTTCCGTAGAAGTTATAATATTCCCTGAGCTCTTGCATAATTAAAACTTCCTTCTGTATCTTTGGATTTTAAAGAACAGCTTAACTGGATATAAAAATCCATAGTTCATACTTAAAAAAAAACTTTTTGAAATTGTCGCTCCATTGCTATTTTGCTTTTTTCAGAAGTCTGACACCAATCTGATCTTCCTCTGTAAGGGACTAGATCTTTGGCCTGGAGAATTTTTCTTTCAGCTTCATCATGTAATAGTTTGCTGCAGTAGGTCTCAGAGTTGATCATCTGGGGCCAATTTCCACAAGTGACAAGAGTAATCTTTTCAAGATCTAGTTTCAGGGGTGGGGGATGTAGCTCAGTCATGGAGCATTTGCTCAGAGTGTTCAGAAGTTTCTTTTGGGGAGTTCTAAATATTAATACCATTTCAATTTCTTTTTCTTTTCTTTTTTCCTTCAGGAGCTCCGATTTACCCATGCTGTCTCTTCTTTGTCTATCTTCTTCTCCTTCCTGCCTTCTTTGAGCCTTACTGTATTACAGCTGTTATCTACTTCCTGTTATCAACACATTTGGATGTGTTGGAATTTAGTCTCCATATTGTCATGACTTTATCTTTTTGTTACAATTCTTTTCCACATTCGAAAAGCTTTTTCATTTTGTTTTTGAATTTGTGATCTGTGGTTTTCTTTCACATCCACGAATTTTTAATTGATTTAAAATTTTCTGTTGGAGAGCTGTGTTACAGTTCACTGTTTCATCGTCCAAGAGAGCCCTTTTCTATTGATTGATATAAAATTTCTTTAACATGCAATGTCCAGATGGTGATGAGGGAGTTGTGTTTTCTTCTGTATCCTGGAGTTGCTGTTGTATCAGATGGGCTGTTATCTTTTGATTTTTGCTTCCTTTTTCCCCTTTCACCCACCAACCCCCCAGGGACACCACTCCCTTTCAGGATGGCTTCAATTCTTAACAGAAGTGACGCTCTGGTCCTAGTCCCAGTCTAAGCACCTCCCTTTTGAGTTTCCACCAGTCACTATTCATTCACCAGGTCTCAGACCTGCCTGCAGCATCTTGCCACTCTGGATGAGCCCACAAGTATTTTGGTTTAACTGGAATCAGCAAAGGCCTGTGACAGAAGAAAAATCTGGAGGATTTTAACAGGAGTAAGATCACAAAGGACTTTCTATGGAAGCTTTTGCAAATAACTGATCCAGAAATAGAGAGATATAAAGTAAAACAGGAGCAGTGGAGAAGAAGGAAGAAGGAACCCAACATCCATAAAAATATAGGAAGATAACTGAAAGTGAGATCAGTTCTTTACCTGATGAAAATACTCCAAATAAAAAAGAAATCAAGAATTTGCAAAATGCTCCCAGAAACATGATATAATGTCTTCAAAAACTGAACTGCAATGAGAAAGAGAAGAGAGCCCTAAAATCCACCACCTGGGAGATGGCCCAACCAGACCCAGAGTCTAGTAGACTCTGGGCAGAACTGAGGGAAGGCATGGGAAGTGTGTCCACCAGGACTATTAGTTCTTTTCGGGTGGGAAATGGTGAATTACACCAGGTGGGTGTGGGGAGGAACTGGGTGACCCATAAGGGAGGGACAAGTGATGTATGCAGAGAAGGGTGAGCACATGAAGGAAGGAGGGTATGGGACAGGAGAAGTCCTGGGAGGGCACCTGGGAAGGTGAAATGAACAGGGCAGAAACAGCTGGGAGGGCCAGGGTATAGGAGAGAAGTGTCTGTGGGCTCTGGGTGATGGAAGATGCTGAACAGCAGGGTCAAGGTATAGTGTGGGGCATCTGTGCTTGGTGAGCGTAGTCAGGGCCAGGGTAGGCGGTGGGAGAAGGCATTGTTTCTCCCATTCTGCTGATTAAGGTCCCAAGATCAGCTTTCATTCTGCCTTTGAAAATAGAAAGGTCACAATTTTTAGTGGATATATTCCAGAGTTGGTGTTATCCTGCATCCTTGAAAGACAGGAAAGGAGAGATGCTCTCCCGACCTAGGGCGTAGGGCACAGGCAGCCCAAATATCTTCAGGAAGATGTGCTGAAGTCAGCTTCAGGATGATCCTGGATGGGCAGGAGCACTCTGAGGAGTCAACATGAGCAGGAAGAGCAGCTCAGTACAGGGAAGACAGTCCCTATTGTTCAGGGCTGTGTCTCCAAGTGGGATCAGTGAATCTGGGCAGGCAGGGGTGGGTAGGGGTGCCTGGGCCTGCAGATTCATTCCAGAGGCCTTTGGGTCCGGAACAAGACTCTCTGTTCAAGTTTAGCATACCGGGGGAGAAGGGCCTCGTAGACCTACAAGGGCAGAAAGAGCAATTTAGGACAGGAGGGGAGGGTGCTCTAACATCTGGTTGCAACTAGGAATTTAAAAATTTTAAATCCTATTAGCTTGCAATTTAGCTTTTTTCCTACACAAAGGAAAGGAAGCATCAATTCATAAAAGAGGAAATGCTAGTCAGTAGGAGCATGGTAGTATGCCTGTAATCACAGTGTCTTGGGACCCAGAGTTAGGAAGACCACAAGTTTAAGGCCAGCCTAAGGCAACCTAGGGAGACCCTATCTCAAAAAAAAAAAATTTACAAAAAGGGATGAGGATATGGTTCAGGGGTAGAGCACTTGTCTATCATGTGCAAAGCCCTGGGTTCAATCCCCAATACTGAAGAAAATAAAAAGAACTGCTATTAGTTCTCAAACTTGTATTTTAAGACTTTTTAAAAAAAACTTTACATTATGATAAGAAACCAATTTTTGTTATCAAATCTACAAAAGTTAAAAAAAATTCTGGTGAGGGTAGTTGGGAATGATTGTCTCACTGTATATCTAGTGAAAATTGATGGTACAACCCTTATGGAAATCCACTTGGCTTTATATCTGTATTAAGGGATCCATTGTCTGTGACCTGGTTGTTATACTTCTGTGAAACTCTAATAAGGAAATAATTCTACATGTAGGGTCTTCAGCCCAGTAGGAGTCCTCTTAGATACCACTAAACATTCAGACTCATATGATTGCCATGGGCCACACCTTGGTCCTCAGAAGGGTATAGACTGGAGATACCTTGGCCAGCATTCCTCTTCAATGGGGACCACAGGGTGGTCCATCCAGCATTTCCCACAGTGGTCCAGGAGAGGGTCTTTTTACCTGCTCATCTCTCTCCCTCTTGCCTTCCACATGACAGTTCAGGTACCTTCCAATACCTGCCTCTGAACACAGCTACATGAGAGCATGATGTCTGAAGCAGCTCTGACATCCTGAGACCACATGGGGCACATCTAGAGCTGCACTATCCAAGACAGCAGCCACAAGCCACGTGTGCCTTTGCACGTGAAGCCTGCCTGGAACTGTAAGATCAAAATACACACCAAATTTCAAAAGCTTCGTACACATACAAAAAAGAATAAAATATCATATTAGTAAATTTTTTTCCTTTTTTTTTTTTTTTGGTATGGAACTGAGGATTGAGCAACAAGGTGCTCTATCATTGAGCTACATTCCCTGTCCTTTTTATTGTTTTATTTTGAGACTGGGTCTCACTAAGTTGTCCAGGCTAGTCTTGAATTTATGGTCCTCCTGCTTCAGCTTCCCGAAGAGCTGGGATTAGAGCAATTTGTGTGCACAAGTTGGCTCTAACTGGTTACATGTTGTCATGACAATATTTTTGATATGTTGGATTAAATAAAATATATTATTGAAATTAATCTTATTTATTTTTACTTTTGAAAAATGAGACTATTGGGAAGTTTTAAATAACACAGGTGGCTCACATTAGGTTCCCTTTGTCCATTGCTGATCTGGGGAACTGCAAGGAACATTACTCAGACCTCTGATGCTGAACCACCAAACCAACACTATCTTCAGAATTCCCATCAGTGTCAGCAATATTTGTGCATTCCAGCTGACAATCTCGCTTCTTTTGCCTCATTTTCTTGATAATTTCAAAATAGGATTTCCTCTTCAGTTGAACACATCAAATTTAATGTATATGATAAAAAAAAAAACTAACCTTTTTGGGAAAAAAATACCCTGGTCTGCTTTCACAATGCAAATGCATGACAAAAAATGATGGTGTCTCACCTGAGAAGCTCCTGGGCTTGGAGTAGCAGCTAGTCTTGGATTTGGGGCTAACTTCACAACCTCTGCAAAGGACACGTCTTTTCCACCTGTAGTTCAAGAAGGGAAGGACCATTTCCTATCTGTGCATGTTGCAAAGGATCATATTTGGGTGACAAAATGTCCTAAAACTAGGGGTTTGGTTCTAAGCCAAGCTCATGCTTAGCATGTTCAAGGTCCTGGGTTTGATCCCCAGCAACAAGACAAAATCAAAACATTCCAAAACTGGATTATGGATTATGGTGATGGTTGCAAAAATCAGCAAATTTACTAAAAATATCACTGAGTTGTACACTTAAAATAGGTGACTTTTGTGTCACATACTGTACCTCAATAAATTTGTTTTTTTTTTAATATTTATTTTTTAGTTATAGGTAGACACAATATCTTTATTTGATTTTTTTTATGTGGTGCTGAGGATTAAACCCAGTGCCTCACATAGGCTAGACGGGCACTCTACCTCTGAACTACAACCCCAGCCCCTCAATAACTTTGTTTTAAAAAAAAAAAAAATTCAAGTCAGACTGCTTTTCAGCAGGGGCCTAGTCTGTCTTGCTTGCTGTAGAGTGGCTTTTCATGGCGTGGCCAAGCCAACCCTCAGATATGACAGAAGCAGACAACCTGCTTGTCTTCCCGTGTACTGCTTCACTCTCCCATTGCTCACCATGTTCTGACCACCCTGGTCTTCTTTCCACATGTTTTTCCTTAGAATGTTCTTTCCCTCTACATGTACCCATTTCCTTCTTAGATAATTTGCTCCTAGGAAGCTCCTAGGAAGCCTCCCCCAGCCTCCAGCCCTGAGCACCATCTACTTTTCCCCAGAGCACTTTTTGTAATTTGTTAGGTGATTCTTTGTTTTGTATGGGAATTGAACCCAGGGCCTTGCACTTGTCAGTAAGGCACACTAACAATAAGCCACATTGCCCTGGGTGATCCTTTGTTTAAAGTTCCTCCTTTGCCAAGCTACAAATTCCAAGAAGCCAGAGACTGCATCTCTCTGAGTCACCACGGTACCCAAGGAGCCCAGCACATGGTCTGGCACATAGGAGGCACTCAATCATTGCTCATCAAGCAAATTCATAGCAGAGCTGGAAAGGAGGGAAGGCTGCTATGGGTGGGCAAGAAGCAGTATGGAAATCCTAGGCATTTTAAGCAGGGGTGTCAGATGGCCAGAGTAATCCATCAGCACCCTGAGTGAAGGAGGGTCCCCTGAAGATGTAAGAACCAGTTTTCCCAACTAGGTGCTAGAAAATCTCATGCCAGAGGGGTATGGATGAGGGAGTGGGATGGGTGGTGGGTGGCCAGCTGAGAAACAAATCAAAGACTCTGTTCCTGGTTCCACTCACATTCACAACCCTGCTGCAGGAGAGGTTCATTCCCAGACCAGCCAGGGAGGAGAAAGCTCCAAATAAAGCAGCTAACAGGCCTTGAGGTTGAGCTAGGATTCAGATCAGGCTTTGGTTTTGGAGGGCAGAGCAGGTAAACAGACCCAATACCCTTCAGCAACTAAAGAAGCATAGAAAGGGAAAAGAAAATCAAAACATAGGATAACACAGCAGTGAAGTCACTAAAGGGTAACTCCTTCCCATTTCTGCAGTAGGAGGAGTATCATATGGACTCTAGACTTCTCCCTGGCAATGCTGAAGGCCAGATTAGGCAACAGCATTATCAAGGTTCTTGGGAAAAGTATTCTGAACTCAGATTCTTTTACCCAGCATTCTTTGGGACAATGAAACCAAAACTTTGCTGGACATGTCAGGCCTCAAAATCATCAATGGCTGGATTCTATCTTAAAATATTCATTTAGAGGATTGGGTAGGTAGTTCAGTAGCAGAGGACTTGTCTGGCATGCATGAGGACTTGGGTTTGATCCCCAGAACCACAATCAATCAATCAATCAATCAATTTTGGTTTCATTTGTCAATAAAACTAGCATAGAAATAGAGATGGATATTGAACCTATGTCCTCACACATTCTAGGCAAGTGCCTCTACCAGTGGCTACACACAGCTCTAAGCATGATTTTAACCTATTACATCCTATCATACTATATATAGAATACCTATAAAAACACTTCAGTAGGGCAACAGTTATACCACCTATGGTCACTTTGAACATTTTCCTAGCATGTGCAAATCCCTGCGTTTGATCCGCAGTGCCAAAACACACACACACACACACACACACACACACACACACACACAAAATAATAATAATAAAATAAAATAAAAATAAATAAATAAAATAAATTTAAAAATAAAGCAAACAAACAAAATTAATAAAGAAAAAAAGAAAAGAAAATGCAGAGAGTTGAAAGAAAGGAAGAAAGACTCATAGTTAAGTGCAAATAAGAGCTAATATGATGTAAAATGTAATTAAAAATAGTTGTATTTTGGAAATAAAAATCTGGAAATAAAACCCCCAGTGATCTTGATGTAAGAGGTGGGATGAGGAAGATGAGGCAAAAGGGAGAGGAATAAAGAAGGTTAATTGTTGAGGAAATATCTGTGATTTATTCTCAACATTAAAAGAAAAGTATAAGTTTGAATAAGTATGTTGAAGAGTTGAGAGCAAGCATGCAAAGACTGGAAGCACTAGAGAGGGAAGGGACAAAGCCCTGGAGGTACACGGCAGCCAGAAGCTCCCTCAGCAGGCAGGAAACAGGGAAAACTGGTCCAAATTGAGGGAGATCGCCCTTGTGGGCAAGAGCTGCTCCCTCCAGAACTGGCCTGGATGAGGATGCTATCTGGAGTTTTTGCGAGGCCTCAATCAGAGCATACACGGAGCTGTCCAGGGTGCTGGAATGCTTGGTTCTGAAGCCTCCATTATTGTCTCAACTTCCTGCTCTTGCTGAACACAGGGCTCGGCTTTATTCACCTCTCCTGCCCACCATCTGTCCAGACCCAGGCCCATGTCCACTCAAGCATGTCCTGTGCCCTATTCCAGTGTCCCTCTGCAGAGCCAGACTATTACCAGGACTCATTCAGTTTGGATTCTACATCCCTGTCTCGATTTTAAGTAGAGAATAAAGGAATGAAGGGTACAGGATGGTCCTTGTTTGCTGGGAGAGATAAAGATGAAGCTAAAGTCCCCAAGTTCCCCAAAATGGGAACATCTTACTTTCCCTTCCCACCCTCCTCAGCCCAGACAGTGCCAGAATGCTTCCAGAGACACCTATCCCTCATTCATCAACCTACCATGAAAAGCTCGGTATGCAGAGCCCACACAGGCTGAGTTGGCAGTGTCTGTGACATACACCGGGGCACCAAATACATCTGCAAGCACCTGGGAAGGACACAGAGTTTTTATGGTGGTGAGTCATTCCTCAGAGGACACAAGGACATTTTGGGATAAATTTCCAGACTCTCCTTACTCATGTCTTCTGATCCCTTCCACTCCACCTCTGCTGCCCTTCAAAGTAGTACACTTGGGCCAAGTGTGGTGGTGCATGCCTGTGATCCCAGCTCCCGAGGCTGGGGCAGGAGGATTACAAGTTCAAGCCAACTTCAGAAACTTAGTGAGACCCTAAGCAACTTAGCAAGACCCTATCTCAAAATAAAAATATAAAAAGGGCTGGGGATATGACTCAGTAGCTAAGCACCCCTGGGTTCAACCCCAAGAAGAAATACACATAGCCACACTGCCCCAGGGATAACAGAGGAAGGGTGACCTGGGGGAAGTCCCTAGTGGAGGGCAACAGCTCTCCAGGCTATCCCTGTACTTTTAAACCATTTTAACAAGACAAGGCAGGAGATTTAGGAGGCATGATTACTAAATACCACTGTCAGCTGGGACACAGACGAATGTTAACAAACACAAACTAACAAGGGAACTTTATTTATTTATTTATTTTTGGTACAGGGGATCGGGCCCAGGAATACTTTAACCACTGAGCTACATATTCAGTCCTTTTTATTTTTCATTTTGAGACAGTTTCTGAGGGTCACTAGGTTTCTGAGGGTCTAAGTTGCCAAGGCTGGCTTCAAACTTGTGATCTTCCTACCTCGGTAGGCCAAGGATTATACTGGGATTATAGGCATGCAGCCAAGGTCACATTTTATAGGGATCATGATGAACCTCTTCATTTAGGTACAAAAATTAAATTGCATAAATTTAGAATGGAGGAACTGTATTAAGACGATTTCACATGGAAAAGACTGGAGGAAGGTCTTATAATTGCCCAGAGGTATTGTAGTAGACGCCACTGGCACCCCATCAGGATTCTCGTCACTGGACCATGTGTATCCCCCACCCAGCTGCTGAGTATTGGAAGCTAATGGCTCACAGTATTTCCTCCTCATGAGAACAAATTACAGAGGCTACCTCTCAACTCAGCCCTCTCCAAGACAATTAGTTGGCCCCACTGCCCAAGGCAGAACTAGCTCAGTAGTTAATTCATGCTCCAGAGCACCCCAGAGGACAAAGCTAAAGCAGACTCCAGGTCATATCCTTGCTTATTCTTTTTCCCCAACCCTGTCCTGAGTTCCCTACTCCCTTCCTGTTGGGAGTACTATCAGCAAACAACTTATACAAGAATCCTCACTTCAGGCTCTGCTCCTAGATAATCTTACCTAAGACAGGTACGCCAGAGCGCAGCAGTTGAGGTCATTACTCAAATAGCTAAGGCAACCACAGGCTAACCCCCAAAATGTACAGTGTCCCCTTAAGAGGAGCTAATGGCTGTACAATGTGATAGCCTGAGTGTCAGACATATGTAGATTGATTCTACTTTGGGTCATATATTTCTAGCATAATGGAGGACCAGAGGGACAGAGACAAAGCCTGGAAACTGAGTTACAATAGGAATGGTTGGAGAGTCAGAGAGTTAAATTGGAAAGGAGAAGCATTAAGGAATAAGAACACTGTCTTAGATGTCAGAAAGCTCAAACAGGGGAAGGACAGGCACTTTCCATGGGCTTCCAGAGGTCACTGCTGCTATCAGAGAGTGGACTATAAAAGACCAAAGAATTCACCTGGATGTAAGATGGAACCCGCTCACAGTGGGAGCTATAAGGCCAAAGAGCTAGCTTCTGAGAGTGTTGAGTATGGGCTCCCCATTCCTGCAGGTGTGGAAACAGAGGCAGCCCTTCCTGTTGGCTCTTAGACATGACAGACATGGAAGGGGCCATGGCATGCGGTCCACTACCAGCACCTACCTGTAAGATGTCTCTATTGTGAGATGCCCCTCCTGTGGCCAGAATCTTTGTCTTGGGCACTGCAAGGAAAAAAAAAAAGTGTAATGGCTGTGACAATTCCCCCACGGCAGAGAGGGCTGTTTTCCAGAGTTCTTCAGTCACTGAGTGATTGTGAGGGAGCAATGCCTCTTGTAATATCCATGACCAGGAAAAGAACCAAAGCTGACTCTGTCCACGTAGGCCTGTCACATGTAATTTGTTAGGGAGACTGCTGTCCATCCACCTTTATTGTCTTACATTTTCATTATTTTTTTTTTTAAATCTCTCAAAAAACCAAGAATAGAAAGAAATTTCCTTAGATGATTAAAGGACTGTACAAGACAGAAGAATTCACCAAAATTTACAACGAACACCATTCTTAATATAAAGGTTAAGAAGTATTATCTTTAAGACTGATATGCCAGCCAGACTCCAAAATGACCTCCAAATGACCCATGCCTCCCAATATCCATGTTCTCATGTAACCTCCTCACACGTTCAACAGGGCTAACTCATGTAACCAACAGGACTTGTGTGCGTGACAGGGTAGGTATGAACTCCAAGACTAGGTCATAAAAGATACTGCAGCTTCCATCTTGCTCTGATGTAGATCATTCTCTCTTGGATTACTCAATTCAAGAGAAGCTAACTGCCATGTCATGAAGATACTCAAGCAGCCCTATGGAGAAGTCTCCATGGTAAGGAACCAAGGTCTTCTGCCAACAGCCATGTGAATATACCATCTTAGAAGCAGATCCTCTAGCCTTCATGGAGTCCTCAGAAGACTCGAGCCCTGGAAGATGGCTCAACTGCAAACTCAAGACAGACTCTCAGTAAGAACCACTAGGCAGAGCCTGGCTCAGTGGTGTGCACCTGTAGTCCCAGCTACCTGGGATACTCTGTTGTGTGCCTAGAGTCCCAGCTACTTGGGATGCTGAAACAGGAGGATCCCTTGAGCCCAGGATTTAGAGGTTATCCTGAGCAACATAAGAAGACACCTTTACAAAAAATGCACAAAAAGAACCACTTGGTTATGCTGACTCAAATTCTTGAACCAAGGGAATTGTGTAAGATAATAAAGGCTGATTATTGTTTTAAGGGGCTAAATTTTGAGTTAATTTGTTAAACAGCAATAGATAAATAATAGAATTCAGAAAAAAGCAAAGATCCATAGTATGTAGTACTTAACATAGTAAGTGGCATAGTCATCAATGCCATAAGATAAACAAAAAAGGTAAAAGGATCAAAGAAAACTTACTATTTGCAGACAAATAGTCATCTATAGGTCATCTACTTAGAAAAATAAAACAAAAAAGTGAACTAATATTAATAAGGTTAGTAGATACTTGCATGTAACATAATAATCAGTGGCATTTTTAATAACAATAGATAGCAAATGCAGTAGAAAATAAATTACCATTCACAAAGGCAACTAGTAATGTAATGTAGCCAGTTAGTTCCTTTGCAAAGAATTCAAAGGTTTCTATGAAGAAAAAATGAAATGTTATTAAAGGACAAAAAATAATATCTAGATAAAGTAAAAGATATTCCACAATCTTGGTTGGGCTTGATTAATATTATGAACATGCTATTTTTTCAAATGAAAGTATAAATTCAGTGTAATCTAAATAAAAATTCCAATTGGATTTTTGTTTTAGGAACTGAGCCAAATTGTTATAAGATATTAATAGAAAAATAAAGTCCTATAAACAAGAAGAAAAACCAGGAGGAGAATTGATACATTAGATATTAAGACATGAGGAATGAGAAGTTATGCTCCATTTGTGTACAATGTGTCAAAATGCATTCTACCTTCATGTATAACTAATCAGAACAAATAAAAAATAAACACAAGACATTATTATGGGCTAAATTGCATCTCCCTCCCAAATTCATATGGTAAAGTCCTAGCCAGCCAGTATCTCAGAATATAATTGTATTTGGAGACAAAAAGCAAGATAAATATCTCTTTTAAAAAGTAATTTAGAGGGCTGGGGTTGTGGCTCAGTGGTACAGCACACGCCTAGCACATGAGAGGCCCTGGGTTCGATCCTCAGCACCACATAAAAATAAATAAAGATATTGTGTCCAACTAAAAAATAAATATAAAAAAAAAAAGTAATTTAGACCTGGCACAGTGGTACACGCCTATAATCCCAGAGACTCAGGAAGGCAAAACAGAAGGATTATAAGCTTGAGGCCAACCTCAATATCCTTGCCTCAAAATATAAAATAAAGCTGGTTGCGGTGACCACACCTGTAATCCCAGTGTAGAGGGAGACTGAGGCAGGAAGATCACAAGTTCAAAGCTAGACTCAGCAACTTATCAAGACCCAGAATATGAAAAGGGTTAGGGATGTGGCTCAGTGGTTAAGAGCCCCCTGGGTTCAATCCCTAGAAAATAAATAAATAAATAAATAAATAAATAAATAAAACACAAAATAAAAAGGTCTGGGGATATAGCTCAGTGGCAAACTGCCCCTGAGTTCAATCCCCTATACCTGCCATAGGAAAAAAAAGAAGGTAATTCAGTTAAAAGAAGTCGTTACGGTGGACCCTAATCCAATATGACTGATGTCATTTAAGAAGAGGAAGTTAAAATGTAGAGGCACACAGAAGGAGACAAAGAGAGAAGATGGTCATCTACAAGCCAAGGAGAGAGGCTTCAATAACTTGATCTCAGATTTTCAGCCTCCAGAATTGTAAGAAAATAAATTTCTGTGGTTTGAGCCACCCAGTCTGATGTACTTTGTTATAGAAGCCCTAGAGGACTAATGCAGACATGCTACAAAGTCACAATAATACAGTTTGTCCCAAGAACAGTCAAACAAACCAATGGAGTAGAAAAGGAAAGACTGAGGGAGGTCCATGTATATGTAGGAATTTAATAAATGATAAAGAGGCACCATAAGTAATGGGGAAAAACAGAGAAAATTAGATCAACATGTAGAAAAAAATTAAATCAGATTCCAATTTATACCATACACAGATTCCTGATGGATAAAAGTCAAAAATAGGGAAGGTAAAATTATAACATTCATTGAATGCAAAACAGTATTTCTGGGACACTAGCATGGGGGAACCCTCTTAACATTGCAAACTCATAAAATATAAGATGAAAATGTGATGGCTTTAGTTTGGTGAAAATTCTTTTCCAGTGCCAACACTGTAAGATTAACAGAGGTTTGCAACACAGAAAAATGACAAGGACCCACTCTTCAACGTATACCAAGAATTTCTGCAGATCAATTTTTAAAAAGGCAATTCAACAGAAAAAAATGGGAAAGGATATAAATAAATCAGTTCACAGAGGAAGAAACTAAAGTTACCCAAAGCTGTTCAAACTCATTAATGAAAGAAACACTGATTATACTAAAACTGAGATCTCTGTTTAGACCCACCCATCAGATGGGCAGCAAATTTAAAGGTGGTTAATGCTAAGTGTTGGTGGTGATGAAACCCCTTCTCTCCATTCCCTGTCCCTGGTCTGACCTCAAGTGAAAAGGGAAGTCTTTGGGGTGCAGTGGACAGAGAAGTAGAACCTGAAGTAACACCAAACTCCCATGGCAGACGGACAGATAGACGTGGACAGATAGACGGTGGCTGCACTTATTTACTAGAAAAAGAAGCTGGGCTCATCTTTTAACCAGAATAACATCCTGCTCATTTTGGCATTTGAAGACATTGTAGGGAAGACTCCCTCTTGACAGCATTTACAGGGCTCAAAGGCATCAAGTTAAATCTATCTTTTCACTGTTGTGTGGAAATGAAACGTCCCCCAAGCTCTGGTGTTGAAGGCTCAGTTCCCCATGCAGGAGTGTTCAGAAGTGGGGCCTCTAGTGGGGTGATGGGATCATTCTAACCTCATCAATGAACTAATCTACTGACAGATTCATAGCTTAGTGGGCTACTGGGAGGTGGTGGGAACCTTAGGAGGTAGGGCCTAGTTGGAGGAAGTAGGTCACTGGGGTATCCCCTTCAAGAGTAGATTTTGTTCCCAGCCCCTTTCTTTATGATCTCAGCCACCAGGAGGTGAATAGCTTTGCTCCACACGTACTCCTTGCTATGACGTTCTGCTTTATTACAGGCCCAGAAACAACAGAGCCAAGTGAACGTGAACTGAATGAAATCTCTGAGACTGTGAGCCAGTACAAACCTTTCTTCCTTTCAAATTGTTTCTGTCAGGTATTTTGCCACAGTGACAGAAAGTTAACACATTCACCCAAATAGGAAGCCTGTCTAGGCATCTCTTGTATTTGGGCAGGGAGGAAGGTCCACTAGGAGAAGAGACCTTGCTCCTGAAAAGGAAACCTAAGCTTGCTGTTTCCACTAAGAGATGTGATTCATTTAGTGCCAAGAACCCCCAGTCACTCTGTTCTTGAAAAAGAAAAAACAACCACAACAGTAGCAAGAAAGAGAAGGATCGATGTGAACAAATAGAGTACCCTAGAAATAAGGCGATAACTGAAGGAACTAAAAAAGCCAATTTGAAATAAATCCTAATATGAATCTTCAGAAATATTTGAAGGAATATAACGTTCCAAAAACAAGGATATAACACTATAAGAAAGAACCAGGAGACAAGAAAGAGTCCGAGAAATTAAAAAATAATGCATGGTTACAAAAATAAAAAACTAAATGGAAAGGCTAAATAGTAAACATGGCAAAGTCAAATTTAATAACCTGAAGGATACAAATCAGGGAATTTCTTAAAACTAGAGTGGTAAACAGAGACAGAAAAAAATTAGACAAGACATAGCACAGAAAATGTGGCAGGTTCAACTTGTTTTATCCTTATATCAGCCCCTATAACCTCCATTAATCCAAGGATCCCTGGCTCCTTGGGTGGAGAAAGTGTTTAAATTCGTTCTCTGGATGTTCTTTGCTACTGGGATTATGTTGCTCCCAGCCTCTTTCAGTGAGCTGAGCTAAGAAATATAGGGTGCAGACATACTTTCTCTCTCATCCTGCCCCTACAAACTAAAGAAATGGAGAATATATCAAGAGAGCAAAGGGCTAGTTTTAAAGAACATTCATTAGAACAGAAAAAGATGAAAATTACTCTTTCTAGAAATGGAAAAAAAAGAAAAAAAATGCAAAACTGAACACACAACATATTATGGAATTTTTTTTTTTTTTGTACCAGGAAGTGAACCTAGGGGCATTTAACCAGTGAGCCACAACCTTAGTCCTTTAAAAAAATATTTTATTTAGAGACAGGGTCTTGCTAAGTTGCTTAGGGCCTCACTAAGTTGCTGAGGCTGGCTTTGACCTGAAAATCCTCCTGCCGCAGCCTCCTAAACTGCTGGGATTACAGGCATGCCGCCACTAGGCCCAGTTAACATCTAGCCTTTTGAAATGCATTAATCAAAAGACAATACAAAATAGGAATAAATATAGTAAAATATAGAAAAGGAAAAGGACTCAAATGACATAGAAGGAAGGAATATAAAAAGATAAAAGTTGAAAAAAAAAAAAGATAAAAGTTGGGCTGGGTCTCCCCAGTCAGAATGCCTATCATCGAGAATACAAATAACATGTTGAGGTGGTGCACCCCTGTAATTCAAGGTACTCAGGAGGCTGAGCAGGAAGAAGGCAAGGTCAAAACAGCTCAAGACCCTGTGTCAAAATAGAAAATAAAAAGGGCTGGAGAGGTACATCAGCAGTAAAGCACCCTGGGTTCAATCTCCAATACTGGAGGAAAAAAAAAAAAAGAATACAAGTAACAATAAATGCTGCAAGCACCTTTTAAACATTGTTGGTGGGAACATAAATTAGCATAGCCATCATGGGTATTGGTTCCTTAAAAAATAGAAGTACCACATATTCAGCTTTACCATTCCTGGGTATATAGCTTAAGGAATTAAAGTCAATATACTAGCTGGGCACAGTAGCACACACTTGTAATCTACTTAGGAGAGTGAGGCAAGAGGATCGCAAGTTTGAGGCCAGCCTTGGCAACTTAGTGAGACCCTGTGTCAAATTTTTTTTTTTAATTAAATTTAAAAAAGAGCTGTGGGGGCTGGGGTTGTGGCTCAGTGGTAGAGCACTTGCCTAGCCTGTGTGAGGCCCTGGGTTTGAACCTTAGCATCACATAAAAAATAAAAAAACAAAATAAAGATATTGTGTCCATCTACAACTAAAAAAGAAATCTTTAAAGAAAAATGTAGCTTAGTAGTAGAATGCCCCTGGTTCAATCTCCAGTACCACACATATACAAAAAAAAAAAAAAAAGTCAGTATGCTATAAAGATACCCACATACCCATGTTTATTATAATTCACCATAGGCAAGTTATGGAATCAGCCTAGGTGTCCGTCAACAGATGAATGGATTTTAAAAATGTGGTATATGTACATAATAGAGTATTATTAACCTACAAAGAACAAAATCCTGTCATTTTCAGGAAAGTAAATGGAGCTACGGAATATGTTAAATGAAAGAAGTCAGACTTAGACAAGTATTTCGTGTTTTCTCTCATATGTGGAATCTAGGGGGGGAAAAGATGATATAAAATTAGAAGAAAGACTATTAAAAGAAGGAAAAGGATAGAGGAGATGAGAAGCGTTTGGTGATAGGGAGTGGAAATAATCAAAATGTCATACACGTGTATGAATATGCCACAATGAAACCTATTATTCTATATATTTAATATGCTCTAATAAAAAAGAGTAGGGCTGAGTGTAGCTCTGTGGTAGAGTGCTTGCCTAGCATGTGCAAGGTCCTGGGCTTGATCAAAAAAATAAGAGTGACAGAGAGACAGGTCTTATTTGAGAATAAGCTGAGCTGGAAAGAGGTTTGATTCTGATTTTAAGTTTGCTAAGGGGATAAATATCTCTACGCTGCTTTGTACAAGAAATGTCCTGTGTGTATGTGTGTGTGTGTTACTGGGGTTTGAACTCAGGAGTGCTCTACCACTGAACTACATCCCCAGCCCTTTATATTTTATTTTGAGACAGGGTCTTGCTAAGTTGCTGAGGCTGGCCTTGCACTTGTGATCCTCCTGCCTCAGCCTCCCCAGGTGCTGGAATCACAGGGAGGTACCACCAAGCCTGGCTTCATTCTCTTTTCTGAAAGATAACTACGAATTACCCTGACTTCCAACAACAGAAAATAGTTTTGTCTGTCTTGAGTCTGATGTACACAGAACGCTGCCATTTATACTCCAGTGTTTGGCGTCTTCTACTCAGTGCTACTTCCATGAGATTTACCCATTTAGTTGCAGGTAGCTGAAGCTGGTTCATTTACATTTCTGCTTAGCATCCTGTTGCATGAGTAGGCCACAATGCATTCATCCTGTCTACTGTGGATGGGCACTGGACTGCTTCCACCTTGGGGCTATTAAGCACACCCTGATAAAGGTTCTCATGAACCTCTGAAGAACATATGTATACATTTCTATTGTGCATTTACATAGAAGTAAGATTGCTGGGAAAGTGGATATCCAGCTTTAGCAGATGCTGTCTAACAGGTTTTCCAAGAAGTTTATCCAGTGCTTATTTTTATAGCATCCTTTTACAGGGTTGGTTCAAAGACATAATAAAGCATATCCTACACAGAACATGAACTGCCCATAAAAGGCTCCTAAGGCAACCCTCAAGCAAAGTGGCTTCAGAGGTTTTTGACCTTCTCCAGTGACAACAGTTGTTTCTCAGAGGGACAAATACATCTCGGAAACCTGAATTCTATGGTCATCCAGTCTCGTTTCCTCTCAGAACCTCAGACCATTTCAATACCATCAGTAACGGGAACCCATTGATCTTCTGGAGTCACCTACCCCACAGTTCAAGTTCTCGTGAATCCCTTTCTCTTCCTGGTGGTCTCCCTCTGAGCCCTGGGTCTGCCCTCTTCACACTGGTCCTCTGAGTTTTGATGGTGGTACTGAAACCCCACTTGTCCTGGCCCAAGCGGAAAGTCCCAGTCATGGCCCAGTGTAGAGCCTGCCACTTGCACTGCCCATGTCCCTGGGATCCAGAGCTCAGGATGTCTGGTCTGTGGCTAGGCACTCGGGATCCTTTTTGAGTCCTGTGGTTCCTGGCTAAGAAAGCAGGCTCCTGGGGAAGCAGCTGAGAAGCAGGCTAACCGCCTCCTCTTCCACACCTGCCCACAGAGGCAGGCAGACTCACTTTATCACCACCCCCACCAGGGTCAGGCTCCACCACCCTCCTGTGGGAGGCCCCCTGCAACAGACTTAGACACTGTCCTGCCTGCCCTGGTCTGAGGTGTGACTGGGCCCTGGGCCCCTACTCCAGCACCTACCCTGCCAGCAGTTCACTTACTGACTCGGTAGCCCAGGCCTTCTGCATGAATCCTCTTGGCCATGAATTGTCCTTCGATCAGTGCTCGAATCTCCACATCTCTCGGGAATGCTGGGACCTGATTCCAGGAGAAGGTAGGCACACAGTGAGGAACTCCCAACGCCCACTGGTGTGCAGGTGTGCCTGTGTGTGTGTGTGTGTGTGTGTGTGTGAGAGAGAGAGAGAGAGAGAGAGAGAGAGAGAGACATAACTTTTTCAACAACACACCAGACTTAGAGTAGCTGGTCTCTTCAACCACTAACTTCACCTGTCACATGCACAAACAAAAAGAAACACAGAGATAGAGATAGAGAGATAGATAGATAGATAGAGAGACAGAGAGAGAGAGAGAGAGAGAGAGAGAGAGAGACTCGCATCTCACGCGTGTAACACTTTAGGGAGTCAGAGGCCTCACAGAGCTCAGTCTCAGGCAGCCAAGGGTTAAAGTCTGACTCCACCAGTCAGTGCTGTGATCCTGATTTGTTTCCATCTTGCTGAGCGTCATTCTCTTTCTTAACAAGACTGAGGTAAGAGTGGCACCTGTTTCTTAGGCTTGTTATAATGATCGTATCAAATCACAGCCTGATAGATGGAGTTAATACTTGATAGGTGAGAGCCATGAGCTTATGCTGAAAGCCCACGGCTGTGGAGCTGAGGGGCATTGGTCAAGCTAGCACTGATGGGTGTCACCCCCAAGCTCCACCCTGTCTTTCTAGGACCTGAGACCAAGAATAGAACCTGCCGCTCCCTCCCTCACCAACTACTATGCTCTAGCCTTCCCTCCCTGGAAGCTTACTCCAGCCCACAGTGAGAGCCTCCCCATCCTTCAGGTCTTAGCCTAAGGGCCCTTTTTCAGAGACGGCCACTCGTTTTCCTTTACCTGCTTACTGTCCATCTCCTTTCTAGACTGTGGACTCCACAGAGCCAGGACCACCTGTGTCTTGCCCTCCTTTGTGTCCCTAGTGCCTGACACCAATCAGACATGTCTGCTACCTTCTCCTTGCCAAAGCTGGGACTGACGTGTCTAAGAGAGCAGATATATCTTTTCTCTCTCTGAACAGAAACCAAACTGATCCCATCAGAGGATCAAGAGGAACTCCTTTCACTTCCTATAAAGTCTCTATGGTTTGGATCATAAATGTCCTCCAAAGGTCATGTGCTAACAGCTTGGTCCCCAGCTGATGGCACTGTTGGAAGGTGGTAGAAACTTTAGGAAATGAGGCCTAGTTAGTGGAAGTAGGTGGTGGTGGAGAAATGCCTTTGAAGGTTTTATTTTGTCCTCACCCCACACCCTGCTTCTGGGTAGATAAGCAGCTTTACTATATCATGCCTTCCCTGCTAGAATGTTCTGCCTCACCACAGGCCCACAGTCAACCAAGCCAAGTAACCATGGGCCAAAACCTCTGAAACAGTGAGCCATAATACATTTTTCCTTCTTTAAATTGTTTTTCTCATGTATTTTGTTACAGTGGTAGAGAGTTCATTAGTTCGAAAGCTTTCCATTTAAACCAAATATATTATGCCTTTGTCAGCCATCTATTCCAACACCAACCTGTTACAATGATTAAATAGTGTCTTAAAGAGGTTCATCCACATTCAACGGGATGACAGCAACTCTCAGGTCCAACCCCAAAATGGGATGATGACTATTGGGTAACTATCAGAAAAGTCAATCCAAACCCACCGACTAAATCCCTCCTGGGAGAGGCCATGTGGTGAAGGAGAAAGAGAACAGTGGCTTCTGAGGCAGAGAGAACTGGGTCTGTCCCTCTTGCATTCACTGTCACTTTGTGACTTTGGGCAGGTTAAGCCTAAGCCTCAATTTCTCCATCTGTAAAGAGGAATAATCATGCCTACCTCCTGGGATTGCTTTAAGAAGTAAATGAAAGATGCAGAAAACCACAAACACAGTGCCTGGAACCAAATAGTGCTCAATAAATGGTAGTATCTCCCATCCCATAGGCTTTTTTCTACAAGGAAGCAATTTTTGACCTTAAAATCTATGAGCCATTGGTAGGTGTAGGGTAAGGCTCAACAAAGAAACAAGCTCCGTGACACTCAGTAGAAGCAAGGGAGCGAGTGTTAGCTCAGAGAGCGCTCAGGTTTCCCACGCTCCTCCTTGGGGGAAAGGGTGGTGTCTGTCTTAGACCCTGCTACCTCCCCGGCCTCTAGAAGGCAGGCTGCACATGCAAAATGTCTGTTTCACCAGTGGATGGGGGGGAAAAGAAGTCCCTAAAAGTAGCACAAGTTGACAGGCAACTGTTAAATTTAACTCTCAGAACTGGAATCAATGCAGCTAATAACATACCTACCTCATGGTTTTCTGCATTAAATCTATGACGCCCAATAATTTCAGGGGTGATCTCCATTACATCAAAATAAAAACCTGAAACAAAACCCGGAAGAGATCAGCTGATCAGGCATCAAAAACAAAGATTAGCTTCTCAACAGTCTTAGAGAAGGGCAAGGTGAAATGACCCATATCCATGTCCACAGATGAGCCTTGGGAATATTTTCAGTTCCTTCTTTCCATGAGAACAAAAGGAGACCCAGAAAGGCCCAAGATAGGTTTTCCTAGAAGTGACTTCCTACTCCCTCCTGGCAGCCCATTTAAAGAAATGGCTTAACCAACCCTCCTGAAATGCCAACACAGGTTTCACCAAGGGAGGCACATCCTCTCCCTGCTCAGAGGCCTGCCCAGGAGCTGGGCACCTTTCCTAACAGAACCTTGTGTCCACGCAGAAAGCTGTGTATGGGGAAGCACCAGGGTAGGGGAGATATTATGGATGCCAATTCTGATGCTGTCACCAGGGGCTTCAAGGAGGTCAGAAGAGGCAGCTATGGCCTGACCTCTACCCAATACACTGGGCAGTGGCCAACAGCTGTCTCAGGACTCTCACTAGAACATGGGATAACACATCAGCTTGTGAGGTCTATGGAGTAGAAATACAGACAAACAGGACTCCCCTGGGCTTCTCCATGGGCCTCCTCTCCCCCAACTCCTGGGGCTCCAGACCCTGCCCCTCCAGCAAACAGCTACGGCCCGTTCGTAGGCCCAGGCATCACTAAACGGCCTACCCAGGTTTCCGCCGTTCCCCATCTCTGTGGACTGCAGTGCCTTAGAGAACTCACTCCAGGAACAGGAAGCACATTCATTGCGGATCTTCTCTCTCATGAGGGAGCCATTTTTAAAGCTGCAGAAGTGTACACAACTCTGAGCACTGGACCCATGGGTTTTGGAAAAGTCTCAGGCAGAGAGCCTGCAGGTGAGGCTGGACCACAGCCTACAAGCAGTGCACAGCAGGGAACCAGAACCTCCAATGTCTGAGGCTCTGATCCAAGTTCCAGGACCCGGGCACATCCCTAAGAGGAGCTGGAATCACTTATCTCAGGCTGTTTACACAGGAGGCTGCCACAAAGGAGCCCAGGCAGAGTCAGGGAGCTGGGGAATCTATACAACAGGGTGGGGCTGATAGGCTGACTAACCTACAAATCCTCCATAGATCTTGGGGCTTAGCTTCCTAAGGTTTCCAAAAGGCTTATGGTCAGAGCACAGAGCCCAGGCCTTCTGTGAGAATAGTCAGGATGCAGTATGTCCCTCTCACTATTTGATGAAGTTCTACCATGAGCTAGGTACACCACAACTCTATCAAGTCAACAATCTTATTCTCCCCATTTTATGAAGAAGGTATGGCTGAGATGTGCCATGGGGTTTGCCCAGCACCACACAGGATATATAAGTGGTAGGGTCAGAATTTGAACTTAGGTTTGGAGGACCCCAGGTCTTAGGTTCTTCCCCACCCAACTCAGATGTTGGCAAGAGCAGATAGGTCCCGGGGGTCTCAGTTGCCCATCTGAGCCTGCTTAGTGGAATGACTTGAGGTGCCCAAGATGTGCCAGATCTGCCCATCCCTCCTTGGCCCCACCCCAGGGAATGGTCACCACCCACACCCAGGCTTACCACAAGAGTGCCATGTAGTGCTGAGGGTCAACTGGATTGCAGAAGATGTGGCCTTCTAGGGCAGGTGTGGGCTCCTGGAGCCAGAGAAACAGGGTGTCGCTGGTGCCCAGACTGACCTGGGGCAAGAAGGGCAGAGGTGAGGGGCTTGGGGCTTTGCTTGCAAATGCTTCTTTTCTGCTAGAGATGTACTTTGCACTTCTCCTATCTTGACTGCATCGCTTCACTCCTCGTATTGCAGGCCTCAATTGAGATGAAATGCTCCTTCCTCAGACACCTCGTCTGACCTTCTCACACCAGACGAGTCAAAAGTCAGCTCCCCAGATCCAGGCTCTTGTGGACCTCCCTTACTAACTTTCTAGAACTTACCATAACTGCATCAAAATAATGGTGTAGGTGGTGACTTTTCCCAAATGACTTCTCTGCTAGATGCAGGAAGGCATGAGTTACATCCTCCTCTTCACCTGGGGAGCTCCCAGCCCTCATGTCTGACCCTTGGCCACTTTGCCCACCAGACTGGTCACCACTGAGCAGGCAGGGTTTTGTCTACTCAGTAAAGAGTGATGACCTTCTAAGGAAGGAGATGTAGGTCCCCCCATACCCTTTAGGGAACAGAAGACCCTCTAATAGATAGTAAAGATGCTAAGACCCAGCACCCTGGTCCCCAGGGCAGAAAGAGCCTGTGGGAATGAGAAGTCACCTTACCGCAATGTCACCTTCCTCCAGCCTCATGCCTGCCAGTGACGCTGAGAAGGGGAGGGGAGCCTCTGGTTAGCTGGAGGCCACACAGGAACCACGAAGCAAACCACAGTGCCCCCCAAACAACAGCACAGACCCCTATCTATCTCCCACTCTGACACAGGAGCAGGGCAAGCTGATGGCTCAGAGGCCCAAGAGAAGGTTGCAGGGGTCAAAGGGTAGAGTCTCTGTGGTCATGAACTCTGATCTGGGCTAGGAAGTCTCTTCCCTAAAGGGGTTCAAACTCCACACCACTGCCAGGCACTCTAAGGAGTGCTGAGAACCAAAGGGGCCAGGACGAGACACCAAGAATACACATGGCAGAGAAAGATGAAAGCAAGGCAGAGTGTGGGCAGGAAGGGACCGAGGTTGTGCAGATTGTCCCCACCTTAGATGGGAGGACCACAATAGCAATCCTTATCTGCATGTTTGCTGGTGTACCCCAGTACTAAAAGAAGACCTGGTCTATAAGCAGGTGCTCACTAAATGCTCAGTGAAGGGACAAACAACTGAACAAGAAGTGGGGGGAAGAACAGGCACACTCAAGCTCTGCCAGCGAGATGCAGTCGGCAGTGGCTGCCAGAAGCCTTGGACCCAGGAATACCACCTCTGAGAACTGACCCTGTAGTGACAAAGGGACAGGGCAGATCGTGCATCTCAGGCTGTCTGCACTGTCTAAGCACTGGAAGAACACCAACCTCCATCCACAGGGGATCAATGAAATAAATTCTGGGACAGCTGAACCTTGGACCACCAGGAAAATAAGGTTGCCCAGGTTGATGAGAAAAATCAATCAATCAATCACTGCTGCTTATTTATGAGCATAGGAAGAAACTGGAAGGGGAGGCATCACAATCTTAACCCTAATTTGGTATTTGGTAGTACTTCAGGAAGGGGCTGCTTTACCTAGGGTGGGGCTGAGGGCCAGTGGTCAGGGTGCTACTCAGTGTGGCTCACCTGGTCTTTATCCAGGAACCTCAGAAGCCCCTTTGAGGAAAAGCAGAGAGACCATGGAAGAAGACAAAGTATCCAAGTGAGAAATGAGTCATTTAGAGATCAAATGACCCGGCAGAGACTCAAAACCTGGTCCTACAGGAGGGGAAGGGGGAGCTGAGGCATTAGCTTGGAATGAAAAGAGGCAGGGGGTGAGGTGCGCACAATGACCTTCTTTCATCACCCCTCACCTGGAGGGAGTAGACGGACTGGCAAAGCAGTTCTTGAGGGTAGTCAGGACCCAGCTGGGGCAGGGACTAGGAGGCAGATTTTGAAAATCAAAAGGGGACAGCGCAGAAGGGCTTTTACCAAGAGACTGAACTGGAATTCCCAGAAGTCTAGCACCGACCCTATAGGTCCAGTTGGAGAGGGAAATCCTCCAAAGCACTCACCTGGATTGTCACCAGTGAAGGCCACTACTTTGCATCCTGGAGGAAATCCATAGCGCTGGACATAGTAGGAAGAAATGGCTCCCTGAGAAGAAAAAGCATGTATGCTCTGTTGAGATAAATCCCGCCTACTCAGCACAGCTGTCCACACCTCAGGCCATGAGAATGTTCCGGGCTCTGGGTCGCTGGAGCTGAAGGAATCTTCTGCAAAGCCTGGGGGTGTATCACTCCCTGTCACAAACCAGGCATGTCCTTCCTATTCACAAATTGCTGGAGAAGCCCAATGCAGGTTTGAAATCACAAGCATCAGGACCCGCAGAAGAACATTTATTGGATTTTGAGACTCAGGGCAGTTAGAACAAAACAATCCCCAACTTGTACCTGCTTTGTAAGCTCCAAAGTTTGGATACAGCATACAAAAAAAGCAACGCAGCACCAGTTTAAAAGAAAAAAAAAAACTCATGGAAGTTGATACTACCTTACACACTTACTTATGATCCCAGCCACTGGATTAACAATAATCAGATATGCTAGGGCAGAGAACAATGTTCTAAAGAAAATAAACCAAAAAAATGGCAGTGGTAGGGGAGGGGACCCATCCAGGAACCACAAGACACTGTGGGACAAGAGCATAGGATAACCCCCAACAGATGTATATGCTTGAGAAAGCAGTTATAAAATATAGCACATGTTCTCCAATCTTTGACTATATTGTAGTTTCAAAAGTTTAAAATAAATGAAGATTTCCTGGTGTCTGGGAAGAAAATTTTGCTCCAGCTAGGAAAATTTTAGATGCCCATCAGAACAACCTGGGAAATCTGACATCTCTACTTAGACTGCCTCCAAAACCAGAGCCTGAGACAGGGTTGCATGCAGGTGGTTTGTTTGGGGATGTGATCTCAGGAGGCAGGGAGTAGGAAAGACAAACAGGGAAGGAGGGCAAGTTGGCCCAAGGATCATCACTGTGGGCAACTGAGGCTCAGGCCACAGAGGAACCTCTGAGAGCTGGAAATGGACAGAGGAAATGGCCTCCTGGGGACAGAGAGGGAGGAGCAGTTACCCATCCACAGGCTCCCTCACCTCACCGATGACAGGGGTCCTGTGGGGTGTTAACATCTTGCACCTCCAAGTTCCCAGAACACAAAAACAATCAGAGAAGCCCCAGAATGGAAAGCAAGGAGATACAGATCAGGCAGGGGGCAGCAGGGGACACCTGTATGAAGCCACAATGGCTTCCCCCATTGTGTGATATGTGACAAATGAAAATGCATCTTTTCAGAATCAGTTCTCACTGCTTATCTCTCTACAGGCTCCTTCTTGGGGGTCACTCATTCCTGGTACAGAGCAAACAAAGTCTGTTTCCCTGGACAAAACGTTGCTCTCCATTTCACCTTAAACTAAAAGCCATGCATGGGATGGATGCCAACCCCGGGGAGGAGGCTGCTTTGTCCTTCTGACGTGCATGACCTATCTAGCTGGGTCTCGCGCCATTGGCTCCTCTGGGGCGAGCTGGTTCTTCCTTCAGTCCTGTGCACTGGCCTCCATGGCACACTTTGTGTGATAGGGGTTTGGCTGTGACATTCTGCCCCAAAATGGTCAAGGTGATTTTCATCATGTCAGTGAGAATCCTCCAAAAAAAAAGTGCTTCTGTGGTTGAAAGTCCCAGTGGAGAATACTTCCCCAAACTCCATCTTCCTGGTGGCCTGTCCCTCGAAGCTCCATGATTTTCTGCAGGCTTCAGGGCCACTTCACATCCAACACTCTCACATGGAGTTCTTCCTGCTTATTCTGGCCATGTGGCATGTGCGCCCCATCACAGGACCCCGAGGGCACCACCCAGGACTTTTTCTACTCCATTATCCCCTCAGGACAGCCAAGAACAGGGCCAGCCAACCAGGGCCCACCAGGATGTTCAACTGTTCAACTGGGTACCACACTGATGATCAAGTCTTTTTTTATCCATGTTACTAAGCGCCATCTTGAGCACTTTAAATATATCATAATTCATTTGATTTTCACAGTAGCTCCACAAGAAAAACAGTATTCTTCCCATTGTTCCAGATGATCGAACTAAGGCACAGATTAAACAGAAGCAGTTCATGGTAGATCTAGAACTCAGTCCAAGCAGTCTATGCACATCCGGGTTCCCTGGCATTTCTATTTCCCCCAAGCCTGCCTGCTTCAAGCCTCAGTAGTAGTCCCTAGTCCTAGAATTCCAGCAGTCTGCATTTTTTCCTCAGGTATGCAATCACCCAGAAACTCACCCCTGCTATGAGCCAGCAATCTATACATGCCCCTGAGTCCTGCTATGTGCAAGGTGCTGATCCAGATACTTTACTTTGAAGTACATCAAATTCTTGTCTTAGACTAAACTGAAAGCCCCATGTGTCCACGCCTGTGAGTAAAATGATGAATGAGTGTGCCTGCACAGGTGTCAGTGCTTCCCTGTAGCTGCCAGCTCTTTCAGGAGCCCCGATGAATAGGTAGGTTAGTCAGATAGTAAGCTACAAGCAGACAGTTATAGCAACAGGCCCCAAAAAGATTTCTCTAAGTAAATGCAAAGTGTGCACTACTGCATATAAATAGATGGCTCTGTCAAAACATTCCAAGCCTTATAATCACCCCAAATCCTTTGACTCAAGAGAAGTAGGAAAAGGGAAGGTGGGACAGCTCTGGAAACTGTAGATAATTTCAAACTCAAGGGTTAAGAGGGAACAAATCGTCAGAATGTCACAGGTCTGACCCATGAAGTCACCTTCCAGATACCTAATTATCATAAAAGGACCAATAGGTTTGGCATTCTTTTGGTACCTGATTAGCATAAACATCTGAGCAACATCCCTACCCAGCAGTTATATAAACCCTAGACTGGTACCCTTTGGTGGCAATCCTCTATTAGGATCTCTCTCACTCAGCGAGAGCTGTCCCCTTGGTCTCTCCTTTGTCCTGAATTTCATTCTTGCAAGTTTGTGAGAAAAGAACCTGAGAAGGAGTCGCTGGTGGTCTGCTATGAAGGATAACACTGTAGAGCTAAAGAAAAAGAACACACACGGGAATCATAATGGCAGAAAATCCAGTTTAACTGAAGGTTAGAAAGGGGGCACCTACCACAACTGAGCATGATGGTACTGGTACGCCGAGCTTCTCCTCTAAATGAGGGGCACAGGCACCAAGGCAAGCCTGGGACCAGACTTTGTCTTGGATCTGTAACAAATTCATTCCAGAACCTGAAAAAGGAAGGAAACAGACACACCAACAACAACAACAACAACAAAATAGAAACCTGTGAGAAAAGAACCTTTGGTGAAAATTGGCAAAAAGGAGATAATTATCTTACAGCCAACTGGTGCCTGGGCCTCTTAATTCATAGAACGTCTGCAACATACCACACTGTTCTTGAACCAGAGAACCAGAGGACAGCAGGATCCCTGGAGCACATGGAGCATCCCTTTCTCCAAATGTCCTCACAGATCAAACACCACAGGCAGCCTGCAAATCTGTTGCTCCACATATTACTTGGGTTTCTTTTTTTTTTAATATTTATTTTTTCGTTGGACACAATATCATCTATATTTTGTTGGTTGATTGATTTTATGTGGTGCTGAGGATTGAACCCAGGGCCTCGAACATGCTAGGCGAGTACTCTACCACTGAGCCACAACCTCAGCCCTATTTCTTGGGTTTCAAGTTGCCCCCTCAAAGGCAGCCTCAGAGCTGACATGGATCTGCCCACATGGATTTCCCAAGTTCATGGACTATTTTTTTTTTTTTTTTTTTTTTTGGTACTGGGGATTGAACTCAGGGGCACTCAACCACTGATCCACATCCCCAGCCCTATTTTGTATTTGATTTAGAGACAGGGTCTCACGGAGTTGCTCGGTACCTTGCTTTTTGCTGGCTTTGAGGGGGCACCTCATTCTACTGGGATAGGTCAGTGTGAACAGCAGAATGAGGCAAAAGCAATGGCTTGTTGCTTCCAAAATTTCCAAGTAAAAGACTATGCAGCTTCTGCTTGACCTCCTCTCTTGCTTTTTTTCTTTCTCTTCCTCTCTAATGTCACTAATAGTCCTACAGAGGAGACACATTGTGAGGAACTATGGCCCCCTGTCAACAGTCCTGTGCAGGATCCTGGAAGGCTCAATCCTGTAGTTAAGCTTTCAAATGACTACCTCCCTGGCTGCCAGTTTGCCTGACACCTTGAGAGAGATCCTGAGCCAGAACCATCCAGCTAAGCCACTCCCACATTCCGGACCCTCAGGCACCATGTGAAAAAATGAACACAAAAGGTCTTCAGCTACTAAGTGTCAGGGTCCTTTGTTACACAGCAAAGAAAACTAATACACTCCCTTCTTGCCCAATGATGAGAACTGCAAGATTAGCATCCACCCAGGGTGGATGGGGCTCTTACTGCCTGCATACCCATGTGCCCACATGCATTCGAAACAAGCACCCAGTCAGCACTCCAGAGGCTTACCATCACTGTAGTCAATGGGGGAGTAAGAACCAAGGAATAGGGAAGCAGCAAAGCTACTGACCAAAGAAATTCTCTGAAAAAGAAACGGTCAAAGGTTACTCGCTTCCACATACCTTAAGTTACTGAATACTTCTGACACAACAGGAAGAGAGTTTTAAATTGGGGAGGGAAGTGGAAACTTTGAGCAAAATCCAAGCAAACAGTGGAGACTGAGTATCCCAGATAAGAGCAGCTGGAATTCCAAGAACTGACTCGTGGGGAGAGCACTCACTGTCTGCAATTTCTGACAGGCCATGGAACTGTCCAGATCAATGAAAACACAAACCAAAAGCCCGTGAAAAATCTGGGCCTAGAGAAGCTGATTTTCCATATAGAATCCGTGGCTGGGAAACATGTGCCCTGACTTCCTCCTCCACAGGAAACAGGATGCAACCACAGGACTCAGAATGAACCAAGACACTCCTGGGGGTTTGGGATATATTTAAATAAAAGCTGGGTCCCTAAGAACCCAGACCTTAAAATCATGTGACAGATGGAACCACAGACAGAACTTAAAATGTCAGCCTGAGGGGCTGAGAATCCACATGAGCATCATGGGCTCCAGGACTAGTGCTGCCACCTCCTGCCCCCCATCAGGCCACCTTTATTCCACACACAGAGCTTGGAGAGGCAATCCCCCATGGCTAATGCAACAGAGTAATCTGGACCTTCAAATCATTAAATAATAAACTTCATGTGAATTTCCAAGATTAAAAGGGTACTTTTGAGTTTATTGTGAGATGGTCATCTTCTTATTACAAGGAAAAAATCAACAGCCAGGGTGTGGAGCTGCTTCTTGGTTAGCATTCAGTGCTGGCTTTTGGCAACTGGGCTGCCAGGAAGAATCTGGGTTCCTGTGATCCAAGTTGAAGGACCACAGCTGGAGACACAAAGCTCCAGTCCCACCTGTCTACAGAGAAGACCCTGACCCATGCCAATCAAGTGCCCAGCAGCCATGCCATCCTGCATCAACCATACAGGAAAGTGAATGGACAGAGAGCCCCAAGGCACCCAGATCTCCCTCTCAGGTGGTCTCAGAAAGACCCAAATTCCCACCACTTCTTCCCTGCCCCTGCCCCGGACTCCTGCTGGTCATGAAAGCCCCTGACTTCTCTTTCTCACAAGGCTATTTTTTTGGCAACAGCCTGACAATGAGGGGAAAAAAAGCAAGTTGAATACAGTCATGCACTGCTTAATAACAGGGATATGGTTTAAGAAATACGTCATTAGGCAATTTTATCATTGTGCGAACACCATGCAGGATATTTACACAAACCAAGCATACTACATACCCAGGATAGATGGTGGAGCCTACTGCTTGCTTCTAGGCTACAAATCTATACAGCATGTCACCATACTGAATACTGTAGGCAATAGTAACACAATGGTAAATATTTGTGTATCTAAATGTATCTTCTTTTTTGGGTACTGGGGATTGGACCTAGAGGCACTTTATCACTGAGCCATATCCCAGCCCTTTTGACAGGGTCTTATTAAGTTGCTCAGGGCCTCACTAAGTTGTTGAGGCTGGCAATCCTCCTAAGTTGAGATCTTCCTGCCTCAGCCTCCTTTAGTTGTTGGGACTATGGGTATACGCTACCACATCTGACTTCTAAACATATCTTAACATAGAAAAGGTACAAATATATTTTTTTTGCCTTTATGTTCTTATATAAGCATAGTTTTGGTATCTTCAGAATAACCAATACCAGAAACTCAAAAAATAAAAATAAACAAATAAAAATACTTTTAAGAGACTAGAAGCATAGCAGTTTTATTTACAGCATCATTGTCACAAACACATGAGAATGCTCTGCAAAGTTAAGACAGCTCTAATGTCACTAGACAATAGGAGGTGTTCAGCTCACTGTAATCTTTTTTTTTTTTTTCCCCACAGTACTAGGGAATGAACCCAGGGCCTTGTACATGCTATGCAAGCATTCCACCACTGAACTACATCCCCAGCCCTATTTATTTTTTACTTTGAGACAGAGTCTTGTTAAGTTGCCTAGGCTGGCCTCAAGTTTGCCACCCTCCTGCCTCAGCCTTCTGAGTATCTGTGACTTTCAATCAAACATGAACATTGAACCAACCTCTGTGCGTGAGTAGGCCTCAGGATTCTGCTGGTATATCTTTGCAATCTGGTTTCCTGTAAAACGCTGAAAAAAGAGTGCAAATTCTTAGAAATCAAAATCCTACACAGAATAAATAACTCCATAAAGAGAGTTTAACATAGCATGCACTGAATATTTGGTGGTAAAATAAAAACTTTTAAAAGGCCCCTAATCTGGAAATGCTTAGTTTCTGCTGTATAATCACACTGTGTATTTTAGCCCTTGGATCCTTAAAATGTTCTAGGTAATCAAATACTCTGGCAATAAACAATCCCCCTGTACCCAAGGACACAGAAGTAACTTCTGGGCCTTCTGGAAGGGCCTCTCACTTGTCAGGACTGGACAAGCCTCATGAACTGAGGCACTTTTATGCAAATATTCTCTCCATCCAACTTCCTCTTGTTTCAGGTGGCTTAAGTGGGGTTGATCCCCTAAACCTCGATTCCAGTGAGGTCACATGATCTATGGTGGCCAATCACATAATCCCTGGGGCTGGGGCTGAAGTCAGCCAGGCACTGCATGGTCTTATATTCTCTGACTTCTTTCAGCTACAAAAATACCTACAGTGGTGCACTCGGGTTGCAGTTCAGTGATAGAGCATTTGCCTAGCGTGTGTGAGGCACTGGGTTTAATCCCCAGCACCACATAAAAATAAATAAACAAAATAAAGATATTGGGTCCATCTACCACCAAAAAAACCCATAAAAATAAACAATACCAACGATGGAAGTGCTATTGTGTCCAAGTTTCAGAGAATGAGACTGAGGTTGCCATGATCATACCCATGTACAGTAGTAGCTTGATGTGAGTAGCTTAGCTCGGTTCACATCCCAGCCTGACCTGGGAACTCATGGGAAGAGGCTGCCCTGGCCTGGTATGTGCCCAGGGAAGCAGGACAACCTGGATCAGGAGGCCGGGACACCATGTCCCATTCTGGCTCCCTTGGGTAGCACCAGCAACACTTCACATGACTCCCACAGAGACTGGGTGCCCACTCCACCCTCCTAGACACCCATTTTTAGAGAAAAGATCTGCCCTATTCCCCAACCCATTGTGGGTGCTGCCCACCTCATAGGCGCGGGACCCTGTGAGGCAGCTGAGAGACTGGGCCCCACCCACAGCGGCCTCCAGCTGGCGGCACTGGGCTGTGGTGCTGGAGTCCATCCACACTGGGCAGTCGCTGATAGAGAAGCAAGTCTGGAAGGAACCACAAAGGTGCAGACTTGAGCTCCACGGTAGACTCAAAGAGCAGGTATAGCACTTCTTCCCAGGATGTGCCCTTGGGAGACCCATCAATGGCAACCCTTTGGCCTGGCCCAGGGGGGTCTCTCCCTGAAGGCCTAAAGGCAGAGGCTCTTCCAGGGAGGGCACCTGAGCACAGCAGACAACACTAGAGACTAGCAGAAAAGAGCTGCAGCTCTAGCCAGGTGCAGGTTTTTCAGGGACTTCTGGAACTCAGGAGAAAGGGGGAAGGCAGAGCCCCTGACTTCACAGCATGCACCAAGGGGAGATTCTCGAGAGGCATGCAGAGGATGGCCCAAAGTCATTTTGGGAGGAAGAGACTTATGTGATGCAGGTCATTAGCCCCTGACCCCCTGCCCAGACAGTGGGGAAACTCCACCTGGGGAGGCAGGACAGACCACCCACAGAACTACTGCTGAAGCCAACTCCTTATACTCTCAACAATGCATAAAGCCCCAGACTTCCAGGCCCACAGGAGTTGGGGCCCTTCTGCCCTCTCTGTTGAAGTTTCTCAGACTCACAGACATGGTCACAGTTACCTTCAGCTGCTGGTGCAATGGGAGGTCTGGTGACAGTGCCGTCAGTGCCAAGCTGGCCCCAGTCTTCCAGTATATGCTTCCATGTTGCTGTTGAAGGGAAACCCAAGCACATGCTCATGTGATCACACACTGGTATCACAGCCTCCTGGAGACACAGAAAGACCCAGACCACACACCAAAGAACTGGGCTCCAAGCCTGTCTCTGCAAAATCCTAGTTAAAGAGCTCATCACCTTTATGAGATTTGGTTTTCATTTCAATAAAATGGGAAAGAACTCTGCCCCGTCACACCAAAACTTATAGGAAAGTTCCAAGAAAGAATTACTCTTCTGTATCTTGGTGCCTGTTGTAAAACTGTATTTAAATATACTGATTGCAACATTACCTAAAATTCACTCGTCCTACTCATTCAATCAGTTGAGACCCTAGATCACACCAGACATAGGACAGATGAAAAGGAGATTATTGACTGTATTTTTCAGGATATTGGAGTTAAGTCAGGGGAAAAGATACAAATCTATAATCACAAAACCCTGTACACTTGCAGCAACAGGGCTGTGAGAACATACAGAACCTAACCAGGTTGGAGTATTGATAAGTCAAGTGGGTGCTGAGTGTTAGGACAGAGTTAGGTATATGGGTGCTCCACAGAGAAAGCATCCATAGGTGAGAGACAGCCTGGCAGGTCTGGTGAAGGGTGGTGGCATTCTAAGCAATGGGACTTTTGCTAGAGCAGGAACTAGGCAATGGGATGGAGGGAGAGGAGGCAGCCTGAGCACGCAGGATCTTGAAAACCAGGCTCAGGAGATTGGGATCATCTTGAAGGTGGTAGGAGCCACGGGTCTAGAGGGGAGTGCTGTGGCCAGGGCTGAGCGTATAAAAGGGCTCATGGGAGTCAGGGAAACGTAGGAGGGAGGCAGAGAAGCTACAGCAGAGGCCTAGAGGGAAGTAACGGATACCTGGCCTAGGACAACAGAGACGGTGCTGGCAGAGATATGGTAGATTCAAGAGTTTCTTACAACTTGGATGTGGAGTGGGAAGATGGAGTGGTAAGGATGACACATGGCTTGTACTCGTGGACAAGGAGTACAAGAAGACAATGAGAATTCCCTGAGAAAGGGAATCTGAAGAGAAGGAAGTATGGGGTGAAGACAGAGTACTCAGTCTAGGACATTCTATTTGAGGCACTTGTAGGGTACCTAGTCATGGGGACTGGAGACATTATGGTTTAGAGACAATGCAAGAATTTCCAGAGGTGAAATGATTATGAGCAGTGGGAACTAATCAGTGACTTAATCCACAGATAGGGATTAACTGGGCAGTAACTATAGGTAGGCAGGCTGTGGCTGGAGGAGGCAGGTCACTGAGGGTTTATATTTTGTCCCTGGAGGGCAGAGCTCTCTGCTTCCTGCCTGCCATGTCCTGAACTGCTTTCTTCTGCCATGTTCTTCCGCCATGATATTCTGCATCACCTTGGGCCCAGAGCTAGGGGACTGAGACCCCTGGAACCGTGAGCCCCAAATAAACTTTCCCTTCTCTATGTTGTTCTTGTCAGGTCTTTTAATCACACTGATAAAAAAGTTGACTAAAACAGATGTCTAGGAAGGCAACAGGTGTCCAGGCCTGGGGTTCAGGTGAGAGGAAATGGATTACCGAGTAATCCTTTTAGTTTAATGAGAATAAGAACAATAAATTCCTATTAGGTCAGGGGTGGAGCAAAAGGCCTCTTTAGAAGTCCATCTAGTGAGGAGGTAAAATCCTAGTGACCCAGTGAGAAGTGAAGGGACTCCAGCACAGCCCAGGGACTAGAGGATGAGACTGGAGGTGGTACTGACTTCTCTTTCTAGCAGCTACATGAGCTTGGGCAGGTGACGTCATTTCTGTGTGCTTCAATGTCCTTAGGTAAATGTCAATAATAATAAAAACCATAGATAACATTAAATAAGGTTTATTATGTCCTAGTATTCTCTATAAAATAATGTTCACATAACTCTATGATAGATGAGAATCTGGAGGCACTTAGAAGGCCTGTGACATTCCCCAGGTCACAGCTTGTAAATGACAAAGTTGGGCATGCCCAGAGCTCTTACACTGATCAACATAACCAGTATCCTCGTAGAATTGCTACAGGGTCTAAGATAATGGAATGAACTCCTCAGTGCAGTCTCTGGCCATACTAAAGGTTCAGTCAAACATTCTTTGATATTATTATGACTATGACTCCTACTACTAAAATTACTGCCATCATTAGTATTGTTTCTTATCTGGCTTTTACTTCCAGGAAACAGAAAAGCAATTTCAGTGCCCCCAAATAGTCATAATAAATTCATGTTGAATGTTCCATCCTCTTTAGAGGACCTCTATTTGGTTCACTCACCAAATTGTTCTATTTTACATGGTGCTTCATCATAAAAACTGTCCCAGATCCTTGTTTGATAAAGTAAGTCCATACAGTCTCTAAGGTAAAATAGGTGGAGGCACTTTCACTAACAACAAAATGTGTGTCCCAAAAGGAGCCATCACCTTCTCACCCAGGCCATTGTCTCCAACAGCCACCCTCAGAGGACCGACATGGCTATTGCACACAAACCTGGCCTGCCCCAGACAAGGCGAGGACTTGAGAGAAGTCAAAACCCGAAGCCTTCATCTTCTCCAAGATGATGTCCAGAGCCTGAGAAGAAGAACAGAATCCACCGTGACTACACTGAACTACTGAATCCGGTAAGCCACAGCCTCAAAATGGAAATGCAGTGCTTGCCATTACAGCAAGGGCTCTGGGCAGAGGAAGAAGGTCCTAAAGACAGGATCTGTAAGCACCAGAATACGTTAATTATACAAGTAGGCATCAATCAAATAAAAAGGTCAACTATGCTAAAAATGTTTAAAATAAATGGATTCACAAATCACAAGTCTTTAAAGTTTGTTCTTCAATTTGTGACTTCCAAGCACTCAGGAGAAGCAAAACAAATCAGCCTAAATTTAGGTTTCTTTTCAACACACCATATTAATGATCTGACTTAACAGAGAAATGAAGAGCAAAGCAGGGGGAGAGCTCCTCCATCAAAGGAGGGCTCCAGGCCCAGACTCCTTGTGTCCAGGAGCCCAAAGTTGAGGATGTGGGTAAAGATGGTGGCCATTTGTCACAAGTCCCCATTCCACCCTCCAATATCTGGTTGAAATTATCTTTCCAGCAAGAAAATGGGTGGGGGTGAATGGTGCGACCAATAGACCATGACACTACCCCTAAGATTTCACGGTAGGAAGTACAGATTCACCTCAGCCTGTGTCTTCCCTAAGGACAGAGAAATCACTCCAGATTTTGCTTGATCCTGCTGTCCCTGCATCATGCTGGGAGGGCTCCCTCCAGCCCTGACTATGCTGCCAGCTGCCTCCCTGCTTGTCAAACCTTAGGCAGGGTCTAACAAATTAGGAACAGTTCCAGAAATCACCCTGCCCCCCCATCGAAGCCTGGATCCTTTCTCCTGTGCTTGCCTCCCCAAAGAAAGCCTTTGTATATCAGATGCTGTTAATGTCATTTGTGCGACCTCTTAACAAAAAAGCTTGCCTATAACTCCCTGAACCCCCACCTTGGCTCAGCTCTCTGAAATACATTCCAGCTAATCTATCAGGTTAAAATCTATCCTTTACCCAATCCTCCAGTATATGAGTCATGGTCAGATGGATAAAAAAAGAACTTATACTAGTTACTTTTATCAGGAAGAATTTAATACAGGAATTGGTTAACAAGTATCGGAGGACTCAAAAAAGCTTTTGGCAGATACACCAAATGCTGCCTGTTTGGCCTCTAGTTTCAGAGACTCTGGTCTCCCATGGGACGTGAGGCAGTCCAAGCCCTATCATGTCTATCTGTGCTGTCTACAACCCTGGTCCTGGAGCCCCATGGGTCACTAGATCCAGCCACAGGCATCTTCCTTTCTTGTTAGTCCTAAGCAGGCAGGCTGATTTGAGCATGATTGGTCAGGCTCTAAGTCACCAATGTGAATGCCCATGCCCTGAAGCTGAAGGGTCCAGGGAGAAAAGAATAACATTCCAAGGGCTGTTTGGAATTCAAGGTAGAAGACAGACCACAGCACCTGACTGATACTTCCAAGTATCTTGGAAGGCTTTCTCTGTGGTATTTTAAAGATGGCACTGGTGAGCTCAGAGTGGTGGCACAAGCCTATTATTCCAGCTTCTCAGGAGGCTGAAGCAAAAAAAAAAAAAAAAAATCACAAGTTCCAGGCTGGCTTGGGAATAATGAGACCCTTGTCTCATTAAATTTTGAAAAAAGTCTGTGGGTTTAACTCAGGATAGAGTGCCTGTCTAGCATGAATGAGGCCCTGGGTTCCATCACCAGTACCAAAACCAAAAACAAACAAATAAATATGGTGCTAGCAGAACTTGGCAGCTGTGTGACTCTGGTACCTGGAAGTCCTTTGTGAGTCCTCTCACAAAGGCTAAGGCTGAACCTGCCCTAGGAACCAAACAGACTCCCTTAAACCATGAGGACCAGGTCTCAATAGATGCTCTCATGAGCTTCCACCTTGGGGCTTCCTAGTAAATCACTAAGACTGTCAGTGAGACAGGCTAGGGACAGAAGGAAAGGATGCCTGTGCTTACCTGGATCCACATCAGGACTGGAGAGGTGACTGTCAGTCTGTCCTTGTGCACATGAACACCACCCTGAGTCCTGCAGGGAGAACAGGAGAGAATGTTGGGGGAGCCTCAGGGCAGACTGACCGAAGTGAAGGGTGGCAGATGCTAGAAACTGGCTGATGAACAACCCCCATCCCAGCTTTAAGTGGAACTCTGAGAGGGAAAGATGGAGAGAGAAGGCATGGAATCACCCAAGGTGGCCCAGAGGTGGCAATTCTCAGAAAGGATCTTCTAGGCATGAGGGTCTGACCAGGGAAGGCATGGTGCAGAGGCCAGAAAGGAACTGGGAGAATGTGGGGATGAACTAAAAGCCCTCTGAAACCCCATGAGTTTGGAGAAGTCAGGGACAGCTGTTATACAGAGATGCTATATCTGCAGGAAGTTCTCACCTATCACAGCAGCCCTGGAGTGGTGGAGGGGTAGGTATGTGTGTGTACGCACAGTACTGGGGTTTGAACCTGAGGATGCTCTACTGCTATGCTACATCTCTAGTCCTTTTTTATTTTTTGAGACAAGGTCTTGCTAAACTGCTAAGGCTATCCTTGAACTTTGGATCCTCCTGTCTCAGCCTCCCAAATAGCTGGGATTACAGGTGAGTGCCACTGTGCTCCCTTACCAGGGATTCCTTGAACTGGAAGCCCTGGAAGTTTCCTGGAACCTTCTCCTCATCTTCATCCTTATCTCACCCCTAAAGGACCTTTCTTCAAAGAGCTGGTTTAATAAAATCCAACACTTACAACTATAAATTAATATTTTAAAATAGGTTCATAATCCACACCATCTATTAGATATCTCGTGGTCTAACCATTCTATCCCTAATAGCTAAGAGAAAGGAAAGTATGAGTCCACAGAACTATTCACACAAGGCCAGGTGTGGTAATGCATGCCTATAATCCAAGCTCTGTCTTCTGGAGACAGGAGGACTACAAGTTTGATGCCAAAAAAGGGAGAGAGGGATGTAGTGGCTTGAAAGCACTAAGCTCACTTAGCTTACAATTCTGTTGGTCAGACATTGGGCTGGGCTCAGCTGGACTCACTGGTGCATCTGTGGTCAGCTAACAGTAGCTAGAGGGCTCTGCTGCTAGCTGGGAATAAAAGCAGAAGTGTGCAAGGCCTCTAGAAGCTTAGGCTGAGAACAGGGACAGTGTCAACAGCTGAGGAAGTAACTCCCTCAAGTACTTAGCATGTACAAGATCCTAAATTTGATCCTCAGCACCAAAAGGAAAAAAAAAAGAGAGAGAGAGAGGGAGAAAGTTCAGACACAAATACACAGGCATACTTTTTATCTCTTACATGATATTCTGTGCCACCTCAGGACTCTGAAAACAAGAAGGATGTCACCAGATGTGGCCCTTAGATTTCTGCCAGAACCATAAGCCAAAATAAACTTTTTTTTTCTTTATAACTTACTCAGTCTGTGGCATTATGTCATCAGCAACAGAAAATGGACTGATACAACCAGCACAGTGTCTGTTACAAAGCAGATTTCAAATGACACTTAAGACTTGTAGGAATGAATGAGCAAATGGATGAATAGCATTGGGAAGAAATGGAGAAGAAAGTATTCCAGGTATAGAGAAAAAAAAAAAAAAAAACTCAGAGATCTGTCAAGATCACCGTTCCTAAAATTTTATAAAACCATAACACTGTAGTTCATGAATGTAAATTTTGGAAGAAACCCAAAGCCACCGGCCCCCAACACACACACACACACACACACACACACACACACACACAGGTACATACCCAAATTCTGGAAGGTCTCTGTCAAAATGCACACTGTCCTCATAAAAGACATTCAGCTCTGCATCAATAGCAACAACTTTCACCTGGAAGACATTTTAAAAAAAAATTGCATAGAATTTTCCTCAGCTTCTATACTGGCCCAGGAGTTACTAACATCACTAGGCAAGGTTCAGCCTAAACACCCCCTGGGAGGCTAGGGTATATCATGGTAGCCATGGCAACAAAGGCTTCATCTGGGGACATATCCAAAGATTTAATAAAATGAAGAACCTGAATCGTGGCTCCCCAAACAGCCAAAAGCCAAGACCCTCTAAAGGTAACCAGTACAGATGAGCTGGTTCCAGTGCCTGGCAAGGAATGGAGGCAAAGGGGCAGGTGTCACTCATGTCTGCAGAGGTCTGAGATACCAGGCAAGGCCCATGGGCAAGTCTCAACAACCATGATCATGATCAAGACACATTTAATGTCCCGATGAAGCATATTTCCAAGCTCGGGAATTTAGTTCCTTTCCTGGACAGATGGGGAAACTGAAGCCTAGCAAGGCAACTGGAGTCCCACAGGACATTCCCCTTAGAGCTATCTGAGGCCTGCTCCCTTGGCCCATCTAAAGACGGGGGGGGGGGGGGTTTGACTGTATTTATCCCCCAGTACTTATAAAGAGGAGTCCCATGGGCATCCCATGCTCAGTTTGATGGCACATTTTAATTCTGCTCGCCTGTCTGCAGGACCTGAAAGCAGCACAGACCTCCTCTGGCCAGTAGTCCTGGGTCCACAGATCCAAGCACACTGGTGCATCCAAGAGCGGCCAAAGGGAGGGGCAAAGTCCATTTGTACATTGTGCCCATTTCAAAAAAGAAAAAAGAATGGGGGTAGGCGTTTGGAAGGGTGATCCATTTCAGGTCACTGATTATACACGTAGCACGCACGTCTACCAGTCTGTTGGCTTCTCTGCCTCACTGATTTGAATGTCTTCGAGTTCCTATTACTCAGTGCCCAGGTCAGCAGGCGAACCGCCCTTCTCTGGACACGTCCCTGCTACGTGCCAGTTGGGTCCCGCCGGGGGGCGCCCGCCGTTTCCGGAAAGGCTGGAGTCTAGAGCGCACCTCTCGGGCAGGGCATCGCCCCGCAACCACGCACCAGGAAGGGGCGCTTGAGCCCCGGGAAGCTCCAAAGTGCGGCGCACGCGCTGCTCGGCCCAGGGATCCCAGGGCCCGGTGCCAGCAAGCCCGCGCGGCGTAGCGGAGGCGATGGCCCCGCCCCGCAGGCAGTGGGGTCCTGCGACCGTACCTGCTGCGTGCTGAAGTCCCAGCCTAGGCAGCAGCTACGAGTGACGTGCTCCCCCATGTCCCTGAAAGGTGCGGCTGAGCGATCGTCCGTGAGTCCGTCCCGCGGCGTGACTGTGACCGCGCTCCAACGCCCAGGCTCCCCGGGCCCGCCCCTCGCCCCGCCCGGCGGGACTGTGGACCGGAGTCACAGTCCGGGCTTGCGCTCTGGCGGGCTTGCGCTCTGGCGCCGCCTGCGGGGGGACAAGAGCTGGGACCGCGTCCGGCCTGGGACTCTGGCTTCGCACCTGTGCAATAGACCGGCCACCTGAGCAGCCCACTTCCCTCCCAGATTCATTGGGATGCCATCCTCATCTGCTGTCAACACCAGCCTGCCCTAACGCGCCCCGCTTGCTCCGAGGACTCCAGACCCAGTGGTTTCACCTTTAACCTAATTTGTCCCTGCCTGGCCTTCTGGTGGCCCAGGTTCTGAGAATCCTCCAGAGCTGTCTCTTGGGTACTGGAGCAGCTGTTCAACTATGGTGGTGACTCAGGGGTCTCAAGGAAAAGTGTCCTGGAGTTGGAAGCTCTGTGTCCTGACAGGCTCTGTCCAGACTCAACTCATCAGAGTGTTTCCCCATTGTGTCACATCTCATTCTCTATTTAAAATCAGAGCTCATGATGCCACCACGGATGGGGCTCATTCATTCCTGTTGCCAGCTGGTATTGATGGTCCAATGTGTGCAGGGCATGGTGAAGAGAGACAAGAACCAAAATCAGACCCACTGCCTTCAGAGAGCTAAAGTACCTTCTTGTTCCAAGGACCAACTTCTTTCTAGAAGCCCTCCAAAACACCCACCTGTCTGAAACCTTTCCCAGGCCTCCAGAGCAATGGTCTGTTCGCTGTCTCTCTTACTGGCTGAATTTGAACTGCTTAGCACCCAAATGGAATCCTCCTCCTTGAAGGAACAGGAAGGTACCAAAGTACCTGACCTCCAAAATGTTCTCTGCTTGTTGGGGGGCACAGGCCCTCCAGTGGTCACCACTTGCTATGAAAATAGCCAAATACTGGATACTGGTCAGGAGCAATGATGTGACCTGCTAAGCACATTTCATTCTCACAGTGATGCTAGGAGTTAGATAGCATTAACTCCATTTTTTTTTTAGTTTTTAAAAATTTAAATTTATTTTATTTATTTTATATTTATACATGACAACAGAATGCGTTACAATTCTTACTACACATATAGAACACAATTTTTCATATCTCTAGTTGTATACAAAGTTTATTCACACCAATTCGTCTCTTCATACCTGTACTTTGGATAATAATGATCATCACATCCCACCATCATTAGTAACCCCATGCCGCCTCCGTTTCTCTCCCACCCCTCTGCCCTATCTAGATTTCATCTATTCCTCCCATGTTGTCTTTCCCTATCCCACTATGAATCAGCCTCCTTATATTAAAAAAAAATTCAGCATTTGGTTTTTTGGGATTGGCTAACTTCACTCAGCATTATATTCTCTAACTCCATCTATTTACCTGCAAATGCCATGATTTTATTCTCTTTTATTGCTGAGTAATATTCCATATTATATATATGCCACATTTTTTTTTATCCATTCATCTACTAAAGGGTATCTAGGTTGGTTCCACAATTTAGCTATTGTGAATTGTGCTGCTATAAATAATGATGTGGCTTTGTCCCTGTAGTATGCTGTTTTTAAGGCCTTTGGGTATAGACCGAGGAGAGGGATAGCTGGGTCAAGTGGTGGTTCCATTCCCAATTTTCCAAGAAATCTCCACACTGCTTTCCATATTGGCTGCACCAATTTGCAGTACCATCAGCAGAGTATGGCATTAACTCCATTTTTTAAACTTTCTAATTAAAGTATAAAATAGATGGGCTGGAGATGTGGCTCAGCGGTAGCGCGCTCGCCTGGTATGCGTGCGGCCCGGGTTCGATCCTCAGCACCACATACCAACAAAGATGTTGTGTCCCCCGAGAACTAAAAAAATAAATAAATATTAAAAATTCTCTCTCTCTCTCTCTCTCTCTCTCTCTCTGTCTCTCCTCTCTCACTCTCTCTTTAAAAAAATAAATAAATAAATAAATAAATAAATAAAATAGAGTAAAGGTTATAAAGTACACTAATCTTGACTCTTAAAAATCTATTATAGCTAGATGCAGTGGCACATGCCTATAGTCTCAACAACTCAGGAGGTTGAAGCAGGAGGATCACTGAGTCCAGGATTTCAAGGCCACCTGGAAAACAAAGGGAGAACCTGTCTTAAAAAAAGTTAAATTAAAAATAGGGCTGGGGACATAGCTCTGTGGTAGAGCACTTGCCTATGTGCAAGATCCTTGGGTTTGATCCACAGCACTGCAATCAATCAATCAATTGATAAAAATAAAGTATGTATACACCCAAATAAACAGCACCAAGATCAAGGCATAGAAAATGTACAGCATTCCAGAAGTTTCCTTCATGACCTTTCCCAATCAATAACCCTCAAGATAATTGCTATTCTGGTATCTACCAACAGATATTCAGTGTGAACTCCAAATAAATTATGATCCTCATTTTACAGAATGAGAAACTGAAGCATAGACAAGTTTATTGACTTGGCCCAGATCCCAAGATCAATGGCGGATCTGGGCCTGAAGCTGTGAAACCTGCCTCTAGAATCCACGTTTGACAACTAAATAAGTAATTATGCTGCAGCCATTCACTAGGCAGCCTTGTGGGAAGACTCAGCAATCTATGAATGTTTCTGAAATGCCAAGGCTACTGGCTTTCCCCAGCTGCCTCACAGAAAGACCTTGTCTTGTTCAGGGGTGCCTTTCTCTATGGACTGTGGCACCTATCCGTTTCTGGTGACTCATCCCCTCTTTTGATAACAGCCCTTTTACTGTAGTCTTAGGGGAAATGAGGTCATAGAGCTTGTTTGCCAAAATAGGGAGAATGCTGATCTGATCCTTTATCAAGGAAGGAAGACAGATATCTTTGTTCCAAGTTGTCAGTGCCTCTCAAGTTGTACTCCCTGTTGATCCATGAAAAGGCAACCTAGTAGGTGAGAAGTTTGGAAAACCCTCAGCATTCTGGCTGGAATCCCCATAGCCTGAGGCTGGTATTTTGCTTATCATTCTTAGTATAAGCCTAAGCTTGGCTTATACTCTGAGCCGGAACCTACCTCCCTACCTAGGACCTGTTAAGACCCCCTGCACTAAATTAGTGACAAGGTAGATATTGGGTGGTATTGAGAAACTGATGTGACTCCATTTTTGAGAAACCAGCCTCTACTTCAGAGCAAAGCCTGTCCAAGGAAGGGGGCGTGACCCTTGTCCTTGGAAAAACCCACAGAGCACTCCAAGGCACATACCTACCTTGCTGAGTTGTTTGTCTGCAAATAACAGGAGAGATCTGCAGCACCAGGTGTCCCTGACTCAGTTAGGCTAGGTGAGGACTCATAGCAACCCTCTAGTAACCACCAATCAGCATGAGACAGGGAAAATACCTGGGATGTCAGATGACCCCCCCAGTATTTTTTGGTGGTTGATAACATGTTGGGAAACCATGTAGTTTAGCATGTACCCCCCTCACGGATTAAACCAATCAGTTAAAATGAATCCCCCTCTTGTATTAACCAATCTCCTCTACCCAACTTCTTCCTGCCAGTGAATGTTAAGAGTTGTTGTTTGACTTTTCTGAGGTGTGAAATGATTTGCTGTGTGATGTAGTGACACATAGAGTATCCCCAAAAACCTATAAAATCTCACTGAACAAAGGCCTGGGGCTCATTCCTTGGGACTGCTGCGTCAGAAACAGTTGTGAGTCCAGGCTCGAGTTTGCAATAAAGACTCTTGTGTGATTGCATCGGATTCGGCTCCTGGAGGTCTATTGGAGTCCCACGAATCTGGCATTACGGTATCAAAGTGACCAGGGTTGCCTACCTTCCCCAGCAGGTGTCTTCTCTTATCTAGTCACTGCCTGACACTCCAACCTAAGGGTGAAGTAGATGCACATAATAGGATTCCTAGATCAGATGTGCATATTAGGAAGTTTGCTCAGGATGCTATGTGCAGAATGGGGGCAACAAGAAAGAAGAAGAAATCCTTAGAACATAATCACAGGAGGCCAACTGGAACACAAGTGCTGAGGATGGAGAGAATTAAATGGATTTGGAAGATACTTAGGAAGCTCTGAGGACTCTGTGAAGTAGGAAAGGGAGGGATCAAAGGTAATGCCCAGGTTTCTGGTTTAGGTAATCTATTGTGTTGCCAGAGTACTAGGTCAGAGGCCTGACTCTGGGGGGTCCCAACAAATCAGGTCTGGCCACTCCAAAACCAAACAGAAAAAGTAATGGTGAAAAGCAGGAAAGCAACTTTAATCAATATGGCCATATTGGGAAGACAATTGAGATCAAGTGGCTCATTCCCATCTTCGGAGGGAAGAAGTGGGTGAGAGGTATGCATATTTAAGCAGTCTTGGTCAAACTGTGGTCTGGTTAATCATTCTCTCAGCTCCAATCACACAGTCTTGTGGGTCTCATGGAAATTGCTGAAGCCTAGGGGGAAATCTCCACTTGCTTCTACAGGATGTTTATCAGACTTGGATTGGAGGAATTCAGTTACCATGAGTGGATTGCTTCTGCTGGGGGGGTGTAGGTGGGGGGTCCGTTTCATCATGGAGTGGTCTGCCTACAAGGCTTCACTGTTCCTAGAAAGTACCCAGTGATGACTGGAGGCTTCTCGGTACTGCTCCAGGGCATCTGGAATGGATGCTGTAAAAAGCTGGCAGTTGAATGTCCCTGCAAATCTCAAGAATACCTTCATTACTCTATCTTGGTGTCCTCATTCTTGAAGGGGGACAAGATAGGTTAGGTAGATTTAGGGCTGGTAAGCTTTGTATTAGCATGACTGTGTGCAGAAACAAGCAGGAATCTGACTCAAAACTTTAAGGTAATAAAGGAGTCAGATACAAAATGAAGGCAGAAGTTGGACACTTCATTGCACACCTTTTATCCCAGAGGCTTGGGGGTCAGAGACAGGAAGATTGCAAGTTCAAAGCCAGCCTCAGCAATTTAACAAGGTCCTAAGCAACTTAGCAAGATCCTGTCTCAAAATAAAAAAAA